GTCGATCATTCTCTCGTGCTAATTCCTCCCAGTCAACCGCAGCTTCACCCTTTTGGTCTCCTCCATCGTTTTCCGTGGTGCTCTCCTCAACCCCCCTTTTTACGCGCAATCGCTGTCGCTGTCTCCACCAACTCGGCTCCTCTCAACTTCTCTGGCCCTCATCCTCTGATAATCCCCTCCTCATCGTGGACGCTCTTTTGGATGCTTTGTTAGCGCTCAATTCATCCCCTTCCTGTCGCCGACGGCTCGCCCACAAGTGATCATCAGTGTTGTCGCTCCCTCCCTCCTCTCCTGGACGATTGTCCATCCACCGACCTCGTCCGTCGAGCGCGCCCCTATCAGTCATCCAATATGGAATCGCCGGCGACACACCCTGACTCCCCCATGGATCAGGACGATGTGCCATTTCCGTGCAAGGGCTGCGGAGAGGTACGCCCAACCCACCCCGAGTCGCTCGGACCTTTAAGTCACACAAATGACGCTAACATGATCGTTTTGTCGCATAGATTCTGGAAGAGGGGAAAGCCTTTGAACTTGGTATGCTCCTTTCCCTGGATGTGATGGTGTGGCACTGACCGTGTTTTCTCCCCCTGCAGCGGGTAACCGATGGCACATCGAATGTTTTTGCTGCAGTACCTGCGGTACCCTTCTCGATTCGGATGCACACCTCCTCCTCCTCGGCGACGGTTCATTAATCTGCAGCAACTGTACCTACAGCTGCAGCTCCTGCGGCAACAAGATCGAGGATCTCGCCATCTTAACCGGAGAACAAGCCTTCTGTGCCCAGTGCTTTCGATGCCGGAACTGTAAGAGAAAGATTGAGAACCTGCGGTATGCGCGCACCTCCCAGGGAATCTTCTGCATGGACTGCCACGAGTCCCTAATGCAGCGGCGTCGCAAGCGAAACCGCGGGGTCGCTGCCAAAAAACAAACCCAGCCGAACATGAAGCTCGACAAGTCGCTTCCATCCCTGCCCCCGGAAGAAGCCGAGCAGCTCGCCCGTGCCACGGACGACCCAGCGGCCGACGCCTATGCGGACGTGACCACAGAGGTTGCGTCTCGGGGAGCAGCGCCTGCGCTGGACGCGGGGAGAGCACTCGGTGGATCCGGTCGTGTTCCTGATGACCAAGGTGCGCTCTGTCCCGAAATATTGGCTACGAGACAGTGATCTAACTATCTTGTCTGACTAGAAAACCTAATCCTGCCGTCAAGCACGTACCGCAGCAACCGTCATTCCCTGGTGGTCCCCCGGGAGTCTGAAGCCGACGCGGGTGGTGAATTCCTCATCCCCGTCGCATTCGATCCGTCCGAAGAACAGCGATCGCGAACACAGGGCTCTGGCCACGATGCATTGGCCCACTCCAAGTCTCCGTCGTCCTTGCACAAGTCCCCCTCCGAGTCCGTTCCGTCCGACACATCCCCACACATTGCGTACCAAGAGAAGGGCCGCGATATCGATGCCACCCGCTGGCGCCAGGACGATACGGCGAACGGTGTGTCGGCCCGCAGCTCTAGATCGGACCTTCCCGCGACCCAAAAGGAGACAAGCACCTTCTCGACCCCAAGCCCCGAAAGCACAAGGTCGTCGACCACCCTCCAGCGCGACACTTCAACCTTGGACCGATCGACGACGGTGGAGAGCTCCACCACGATTCCCACTCGCCCGTCCCATGAGCTCCGCCGACTGCACGAAAACAGTGGGTCTGTGGACTCGGCGCGGTCATTCCTGTCCTCCTCCAGCATGCCACACCATCCCAAGCGCGGCGACTCGCTGGAAAGCAAGCTGTACCAGATGCCCCGAAAGGAACCCGGCGTATCTCCTCGACCGGCAAACGAACAATGGCGTGACCGGAGCAAGAGCACCCCCAAGGTGGGAGAGTCGCCTCGCACCCCACGGAGCGATAACTACGAGCAGTCGAAACCGCCGCGTCCGAATTCGATCAACACCTTCCAGCAGACTGACCCGACTGCATCTCCGTCTCTGCTGCGGTATAGCGCTGGGGGCGACTTCTCGATGGACGAGGACATGGCACGCATCATGGGATCGGATGATGGCCAGTCGGGTCAGACCAGTGAATCCTTCTTGCGTCGCATGTCCAATTCGGTGCGCCATGGTCGGAGTTTCAGTGACAAAGGCTCTCGTCTGTCAAGGGACGCGAAGTGGCCCAAGTCACCGGTCAACGGAGCAGCGTATCAAGATATTGCTAGCCCTTCTGGAACGGCCCCCGAGAACGTTGGCCCGGAAGAAGTCACTTGGCTGCGGAATGAATTACGCAGAGAGCGCCAGCGCGTGGCGGATCGAGACCAGAAGATCGCGGAGATGGAGGCCGCGATGAACGCTGCTGTGGATGTCAAGCAGGTGAACACGGAGCTCAGTGAGAAGCGATCGACCATGGTGGTCTTGGATGCCAAGAAGGAAATTGTCATGCGCGAACTCTCCGTGCTGACAGACCATCTTGAGGCCGAGAAGCGTGGCGGCGGTGGCACGTTGGATCTTGGAAAGCTGACCAACCAAGTTTTGCGGGATTTCGTGGAGTCTATCCAGAAGTTGAAGGACTCCTTTACCCCACAGATCGAGGAACTCGTGCAGAAGCGCAACGATGCCGCGGAGGAATTGGCAAACCTGAACCGCATGAAGGACAAGAGCTTCCAGGAGTTCGAACAGCTGTCCTCGAAGAATGCCCAACTCGCTGAGTTGAACAACCAGCTGGTACATCAGATCCAGGAGCTCTACAAGGCCAACAACACCGAGGGCACTCGTGGCCCGAATGGCCTGGGCATCTACTCACACGGCAAGGAGAAATCGCTGTCTTCGATCGACGCCCTGAAAGCTGCTAACAATGACCTGACAACATCCGTGTCTACCGCCAATATGTCCGAAGAGGCCGAGCCGGCCACCATCGTCCCTGGTCCCCAAGTGGTCAGTATCCGAAAGGGACAGCCTCGTAAGTTCAACTGGAAGAAGGGTGGACAGAACGTGGCAAAGGGAGTCACCAAGGGTCTCAAAGGCGCTTTCGGGTCCAGCGAGACTGCGAACGAGGGTGGCGGTCTGCCGCGTTCTCAGACGCAGGATCCTAGCCGTCAAGGATTTGGTTTCTTTGGAAATCAACGCAATAAGCAGACGGGTGGAAGGATGCCTACGACTGACAGTGTTCCCGCCTTGGCCGAAAATAGTCCGTCTGGTAAGTTTATCGATTCGTTTGGAGACGCTCGCCTGCATGCTGATCTTGCTTCTCCAGGTCTATTCGGCACCGATTTGGAGGCGCGCATGGAACACGAAAAGAGCATCATCCCGGCCATTATCACCCGCTGTATCCAGGAAGTTGAGCTCCGAGGTACGTTGCCGGTTGGAAGATCATCTGTGAAACACCGACTAACTCGCTCTCTAGGCATGGACATGGAAGGTATCTACCGTAAATCCGGCGCTAGCTCAGCGATTCAGACCATTCGTGATGGTTTTGAACGGTCTCCTCAGGATTACGATATCTCGGATCCGGATCTCGATATTCATGCCGTGACCTCGGCATTGAAACAGTACTTCCGGAAGCTCCCCACGCCTCTGATTACATATGAAGTTTATGAGAAGATCATTGAGACGGGTGAGATTACCTCTCAGTCGGAACGGATTGAGACATTGCAGCGGAGTCTTCGCGAATTACCTCGCGTCCACCAGGATGTGTTGGAGTTCCTTGTGTTTCACTTGAAGCGCGTGGTTGAACGCGAGAAGGAGAACCTGATGACGAGCCAGAACATTGCCGTGGTCTTCGCCCCGACGATCATGCGCCCCCAGAGTCTGGCTCGCGAGATGACGGATGTACAGAAAAAGAACGAGGTTCTCAAGTTCCTGGTAGACAACTGTCAGGAGGTGTTTATGGGTATGCAGAGCTAGGTTTGAGTCTGTTGCTTCCAGTTTGGTTTTGGCCTCCTGGTCTGGCATCAGGGATAGAGGCTTTAGCGTGTCTTTTTGTTTCTTGCTCCTTGGAGATTTTGGACAATTGCTTGTCTCCCGTTCGTCTCCCTAGCACTTTCAAGTCTGATCCATTCGACAATCTGTACATACGTGTGGATGATTGACTTTGCCTTTATACCTCTCCTTTCGTCTCCGCCGTTCATGTTTCCCCTCTCAAGCCCGTCTTCTCATGATCACCGTGCCTCATGCTCGATACCCTGGAACTGCTCCTCTTCCCCTTTTCTTTGGATTACCCCTTACGCGTATGTAATCTCCTCCTTGTCTTTCTTTTTGATATTGATCCCGCAGGTTCGAAGTTAGTACCTACTGATGTTGTCTGTCGGTATTCATTGGATGTTTCTCTGCGCGGTTGTCTGAAATACCCGACTGTGAGTGTTGTTTGTTTTGCTACTTTGGTTCAAGTCGGGAGCGTTGCTTGTTGGTAGCCTGGTTTAGCCTTGAGATTAAGTAGTCTGTTCGTCATCGTGTTTCCGATAAGGCGAGGTTCTCGCGTAAAGAATTCAGAGTGGGATAGTGTATGTTAAGATTCATCCATCTGTTGCTACAGGATGATGTCGGACGGCGCAATATACAATCGATGTCAACTATGTACAAGAAGCTATACTCAAAAAGTGTCGTCCTCCAATCGCTCCATCCGTCGCACCATGCTGGGACTCTGTTCATCCTGAATATCGTCGGTGGTATCGTTAGCCCCTGCCGTGTACAGCAAATGCTCGACGATCCGTTTGGAGGCTTCCTTGGCTGGGCATGACTTGTCAGTATTGACCTTCATCTGCGAAGGAGGGGAGAACAAACCTGGCGTCTTCATCAGGCGGCTCTGCGGGATATGGAACTGCATAGTCTTTGGCGGGCTAGGCCCGAACGTCTCGTCCTCGTCCTCAAAGTCATCATCACTGTCCCAGACCGGTCGACTAGACCCCTTGGCCGGAGTCAAGACACTCGTGCCAGGCTTGGGGGTTGCGCGGAGATGGCTACTGGTGCGACGCTTGCGGTTCGTGCCGGGCGTTTTCAGCGGAGACGAGAAGATCTCGGCGTGCAGCCGCGGCGCCTCCATCTCGGGGCTGGACAGCGGGGAGTCATCGGCCGCGTACTTGGACGACGACTGTTTCGGGGTCACGGTAAACTTGGACCGTCCGGCAGCGTGGCCCTTGCCCAGCGGGGTGGCTTGCACGCGGTACGTCTTGTCGAGCACGCGGTGCAGAACCGGGTCGGAGCCGGACCCGGCGCGATGACGGGTTCCGGCGGTGCTGGGCGGCGCGTCGCGGGAGACGGGCGGGATGAACGGGGACGAGGACATGGGAGTTCTTGAGGTGTTCTCGTGCGAGTATCCGCGGGGGCGGGAGTGTCTTCCGGGGGTAGTGGGGAGGTCGTCGTCATCGTAGGCCGGGGATTCGGCCCGTTGGCCGTGGTCGTAGGGGGATGGATGGGCGATGGACGAGATGGTATCGTCGGCGGTATTGGGGTTCATGTGGGGAGGAGCGCGGGGCGTGCTATGTGACGATAGACTGAGGGAGGTCAGTTCGAGGTCGTCGGCGCGGTGGTTGATGTCCAGCCGGGCGGACGAGGGAGTCTCGTAGGACGCGGATTCGGAGAGCTGGCTGTGGGTGATGTGGGAGGGATCGTCCTCCGTCACGGTGTGCTCCTGGGAGGTGTCGCCTTCGCCTTCTTCGTTGGGGCGTTCTTCGTATCCGGATAGGGAGACATTGGCGCTGGCTTCGAAGAATTGTTTCCAGAACTACATAGAATGGTTAGGGCGGGATTGGTAAGGTTGTTGGAGGAACGTACTTTGGCGCCATCCCAGACGTCACGGGAGTGCTCGGCGTATTGTTCGACGAGAGGAAGGATGCTGGAGGTGACGATGCGATGGGCCTGGCTGAAGTTGTGGTCGATCTCTATGCGGTGAGGTTAGGAGACGGACTGGACGGGTTCGTGTTTTGGGCAGCATGCTGTTTACCTTGCAGAGTCAGGGTGATGGACTGTTCGAGTTTCTCCAGCTCCTCGGTCAGCGTCAGGGGACGCTGAGGCATGGCGGATGTCGGACGCGACATGTTGGATCAGGGGGGATAGGAGAATGGGAAAAGAGAGAGAGAGAGAGAGAGATGTTGATGGTGATGTTGATGGACGACGGAGAGGGGAAAACAACGGACTGCCCAAAGGGGCCGATAGCTAGGGCTGGCGGATAAGGGCTCCGAGCGAATCACGTGGGTGGGGTGGGGAGATGTCATGCTTATCTAGTCACGACTCATCTGCTGCCTGCTGCTTTTCTTTCTCTTCATCCCCCTCTTACCCTCGAGGGCGCTGCATCATGCCCACACCCGTTGCAAAAGGTGAGAACCTAGACCTTCTCTACTTCATATCCCGTGTCTTCGATAGAACTCCATCTCAACGGCGACGAGTAGCTCTTCCGCCTCCTCCGGGCGGTGTGCTTATCAGTTGCCCCACGCCTGTCGTTCTATACTCCTTACAACGAGAGAAGCTATGGGAACAACTTATCTACTAACACTATTAGGTATTATCATCACCGTCTCGGCCCTTGTGGCCGCCGGGATTGCGGTCTACGAGTCGCCCCAGTTTCGACAATGGGTGGACAACTCCCGCCGGAAAATCGCCGTGGCCTTGCACCAGCTGGGTGATGAGATCCATCCTCGAGCCTCATCTCCCCTTCGTCAGGACATCTCCATGACGGAAGAGATGGGACCGGAGGCCGAGGAGCGACGGCGTCTTGCGCGCGAGGAACTTCAGCGGCGTCGCAGTCTGCTTGAAGAGCATCGCAAGCGACAGCACGCATCCCCTCCGGGCACCTTCGACGCCTTGGTGGACGAGAACGGTAGTCTGAGGACAGAAAGTCCACAACTGGGAACGGGAATGGGCGTTGGGTCCCTCGCCAACTCCACTGCGGTCGAGCTGTCTGCCTCACAAGTTGTCCAACGGGCCCGTCCGATAGACGCTGAAGAAGCCAACGACACTGCACCTGACACGGACCGGTTGCGTGTCGCGATTCCTCGTGCGCAGAGTCCCGCCAGCACGTTGGTGGAGTATACGCCCACCTCCGAGGCGCCAGAGGATGGTTTTTCAACGACGACTCTGGAGCAGAGTGTCTCGTCTGACCACACGGGCGGCTATCCTGAGGCTATCTTCGAGCACCCGGGCACCCCGCAGAATGAGACAAGTCGCGATCTGAGATCCCCATTCTCTGATCTTTCCGAGCTGGACTCGGCTGGTTTTGGGAACCACGAGCGTCCGTCAACACCGTCTACCTCCAGCAGCTTCAGCCACATCTACGAATCCGCCGCAGATGGATTCTCAGACGGGACTTTGAGCGACGTGGGACGCTCGACTGGCGCTGCCACCCCGGCTAGTTGGTCGGAGATTGGCAGTGTCATCAGTAACGACGATGTGCAGCCCCATGGACTATAGCGTGCTCTAGACCGCTAATCAAAATTTGGCCGTAATTTGCTTAATGGGAAGGGATATCAGGGACAATACAGACACGGGACGCTGGGAATGGAGTTTGGTTCGGGTTTTGCTATACTGATATGTAGGATATCTTTGCTAGAAACCACGGAATGTGAAGGAAATTTGAATTTCGGCTTTCGATGTTACTGATGAGTAATGCACCCGGGGGAAGTCACTGGTACCTCGTTCCTGGCGCCGATTGGTAGGCGTTGGGGGTACTGGGTACGCGTCGGATAAGCATGAAAGCAGAACAGCCTCGGCTCTCCCTCGGTTGCCCACTTCGCAATCCGGTTTTATAAAGTATACCACCACTCCTGACACCACCACTCTCTTCTCCTCCTCCAGTTTATTGCACATACTCTCTGGCATCAGCTAGCACACTGTAAGTCCACTGTCTCTCTGCTACTCCCACCTCTTTCATATCCCTCGTTCTGTCGGCGAACACCGAGCTTCCCCGCATGCTACTCCAACGTCCTGCGGTCCGTGTCTACGCATCTGAGAGTTCTGACTTGCCTAGGCATTTTACATCACCATGGCCTCGGAACGCTTGAGCTCCATTCTCAGTCACCTGAGAGGTAACAGCAGCGGTGTCTCCGCGATGTAAGCTCCCGTCTCCCTGCCTGAAAGAGCGTAGTTAACCGATCCCAGCACCCAGAAGAACCCCGACGATGTGGTCATCACGCTTGCGCTGCGCACGCCCCTCACCAAGGCCTTCAAGGGCGGATTCAAGGACACCGAGCTGGACTACATGGTCTATGCGTTGCTGAAGGAGCTCCTGGCCAAGTCCAAGATCGACCCCGCTCTGATCGAGGACGTCTGCATGGGAAATGTATAGCCCTCTCCCTCAAGCATGCCCATTCCCCCAAAGAATCCGCCCCTCGAAAGGATGCATATAACTGACAACGAGTACGTACAGGTCGGCGACGGCAAGGCGGCGTACCTCGTGCGCGCCGCATCCCTGGCCGCGGGCATCCCGCACACCGCCGGCGCGTCGTCGGTGAACCGGTTCTGCTCGTCCGGGCTGAAGGCGGTGCAGGACATCGCGAACCAGATCGCACTGGGAGCCATCGACGTGGGCGTGGCGGTGGGCGCGGAGCTGATGTCGTACAACGGCGACCGGCTGGCGCGCCCGTTCAACGAGGAGGTGCTGCGCAACCAGGAGGCGGCCGACTGCATGCAGCCCATGGGCCAGACGTCGGAGAACGTCGGCGCCGACTTCAACATCTCCCGCGAGGCCCAGGACCGCTTCGCCGCCGAGTCGTACCGCCGCGCCGAGCACGCCCAGAAGGCCGGCTGGTTCGACGACGAAATCGTCCCCATCACCACCAAGGTCAAGGACCCCAAGACCGGCGAGCTCAAGGAGGTCACCCTCTCCCGCGACGACGGCATCCGCTACGGCACCACCCCCGAGAGCCTCGCGAAGATTCGCCCGGCGTTCCCGCAGTTCGGGAACCGCAGCACCGGTGGCAACTCCAGTCAAGTGACGGATGGAGGTGAGTAAATGAAGAGTTTTGTGTTGTTGAATGGGCCAGGCTGATATGTGTGTGTGTAGCTGCCGCGATCCTGCTCATGCGCCGCTCCAAGGCCATCGAACTCAACCAGCCCATCCTGGCCAAGTTCTGCGGCGCCACCGTCGCCGGTGTGCCGCCGCGCGTCATGGGCATCGGTCCCACCGCCGCCATCCCCAAGCTGCTGTCGCAGTTCAAGCTGACCAAGGAGGACATTGACATCTTCGAGATCAACGAGGCCTTTGCCTCTATGGCCGTGTACTGTCTGCAGAACCTGGGCCTGGACCACGCCAAGCTGAACCCGCGCGGCGGCGCCATCGCCCTCGGCCACCCGCTGGGCGCCACGGGCGCGCGCCAGATCTGCACCATCCTCAGCGAGGCCCGGCGCACGAAGAAGAAGATCCTTGTGACGAGTATGTGCATTGGCACGGGGCAGGGCATGGCGGGTCTGTTTGTCAACGAGCAAGACTAAGGTTGTATATGGAAGTGTATTTGCATAGTCATCGTACAAAATAGTAGTTATCATATCGTGTCATAACTCATAATCGTTCCATCCAAAGATCTCCACCTACTCCTGCTTCCCCTGCTCCTGCTCCCTCTCCCGGCGCAACCTCTCCTCCGCCGCGCGAGCCAACACCTCCCTCCGACTCTCCGTGCCATCCCCAGACCGCAACCCGCCCAGCACAAACTCGCCCCCAGTCCAGCCGCGCTCATCGACGAGCTCCCCACCGGCCTCTTGGGCCCTCTCCCAGTCGCCGGGGTTATAAAACTCCTGATCCGACAGCCTCTGCCCGCCATGCTTCCAGTCCGCGCGCTCGACCTCCCTCTCGATCTGGGCGGTCAAGTCCCAGAAATCGCGGTCATGCTCGCTGAACACGCAGTGGGCCAGCTCGTGGCACAGCGTCTTGCGGATGGTGCGGTAGTCGCGGTAGCCGTCGTAGGCGTCGGTGCGCAGGCGCAGCTCGATGGCCTCGCCCTTGTTGCGGTTGAGGCCGAGCGTGCGCGACTCCATGGTCGTGTGCAGCGCCGGGTCCATCTCCGTCAGCAGCGGCACGGCGAACCGGTGCTTGGCCATGGCTGCACGGATGCCCGGGTCGTCGCGGAGGCGGGTCAGGAACGCGAGCGAGCGCTCCGGCCGCGGCAGGTAGGACAGCGGCACGAGCCGGTGGAAGGTGTAGTTGTTGTTGGAGGCGGTGGAGGAGAGCGTGTGGATGCCCGTGGGGGCCGTGCGGCGTGGTTTGTTGGATGATGCCGCCGCCGCGGCGAGGGCCGAGGAGCGTGCTTCAGCGCGCCGCCGGGTGTCGGCTTCTTGCGCGTGCAGCGAGTCGATGTCCGCGGATGCGGTGCCGAGGAGGGTGATTTTGAGGCGCGGGTGCGACAGCGGGATGAGCGTGTCGAGGCGGGTCGCCGCGAACGGTGGTTTCTGCATGCCTGGTTTCGGGGCGATCAGGAGCTTCTGGTTTGTCGGTGGGATGTGCAGCGTCGAGGCGATTTCGCGCGATAGATCCTGCAGCGTTGCGTCTGGGGGGAGGGTGAAGGTATGCGGGGAGCCATGGTGGTGGACGGTGAGGGAGAGGTCCATTCTTCGTCTTTTGGATGATGTTTTCTAACCAGGGCCTGATGATGTCGTGAAGGATCAGAAGAGGTATGTAAAGAAGAAAATAAGAGAAGTGAAGGGGAGAATGAAAGAATAAGAGGAAGAGAAGAGGCGTAACTCACAGTAGTTCGATAGCCTTCTATCGGGTTTGTCAGCGATAACGATAAGGACGGATCACGTGCTGCTATCCCCGATCGGCCTCAGGCACACCGGACGATCAACACCTGGGATCGGCGCTGCTTAATTCCTGACTTCGTCATGCTCTCGGCCCTACGCGGTACCCCTCCACACATGCAGAAGAGGGATGCTGTCCCCGCTGAGTTATTGTTGTTACATCCGCTCTCAGCTCGCGCTGTGCGACGCTAAATCAAAACGGGTTACACTGCCAGTCGCAGCAAGCCACAGTAGCACAATGATTCAACCATGTCGTGTATTTGCAGAAGCAAATATGTACAAAAAGAAGATATAAGATGAAGCAAAGCACGCTGCCCATAACGCCGCCCAATGAGTGTCCAGTCCAAATCACGAGGAACTCCAACCCGAAATGAATATACAAACCGCATCGACCGCGAAGGTCAGTAGAACGGGAAAAATGAGATGCGCGATCGGTCGGCTTTACTCGTACTGCCGGCCGTCATCTTCTTCGGGGTCCGGAGAGCCGGGAAGCCACTCTTCGAGTTCAGGGTGCCACGTATGACTGTCAATGGTTAGCAGAATCCTTGCGGTCGGTAAAGACAAGCTTACTTGTGGAAATGCGTCGAGATCAGGGCCTTCTGGCTGTATTCCTCGACCAGCACGGAATCATACTGGAACGGCACCCGCGCCACGACTCCCTCGAAGGTCGTCCGGCGAAGGGGGTAGATATCCGTCAACTCGTATTTGTGGTTGTTCTTGCACTGCCACATATCCGGGCGTTCCGGGTCGAGTTTGCTCAACCCTGTGATATCAATGTACAGCCCCGTTCGCATGTCGATCCACCGCGCATCGATGATGTTCAGTCCCTTGCCACGTTCGCGTTGTCGCGCCCAAGGGTTGACGTCGAGCAGGTATTTGCGCTGCACGTCGGAATCATCGGGAGAGTACTGCACGATGGTCTGGTTGTAGTGATCGGCGAGGTAGAGCAGGGTGGTGTCCGGGACTTGGGTGTCGATATCCCAATCCCAGGGCATGATCTGTAACAACGACCGCGTGAGTGACTAGCCCGGGAATGGCATCCGACCGAATCAAGCGGCTTACCTTGCCGTTCCACCACCATCCTAATAGAGTTCCATGTGCGATCCACGTTTCCAGCCCGTGGTCCTCGAAGAAGTTCAGGTATGCTCGAATCATGTAGGTGAGGGTCCGCGATCGCTCCTCGTCGGGAACGGGGGTGGTGAAGAATCGCGTATCGTAGTGACCCAAGATGTCGTCGTGCCCCGGCTCATGGAAATACTTGAATTCCTCCGACTTGTTCAGGCCATACTTCTCCCACAGCGGATCGGGGTCACTGTAGTTGATGAGGCTGCCATGATCGGGCGCGTTGCCGGAACTCGAGGGATCGGGATATGCCAGGGCCACAAGGGACCAAATCGCACCGACGAGGGCCAGCAGGCCCCACGGGATCATTTCGGGTGCTGCTGGAGGAGACGAGGGTTGTTTCTAAGGAGACGCTGAGAGACGCGGTGGGCAAAGGATCATCACTCGGTTCTCATTCTCGTACCCCTTGGGAAGATACCGAACGGGGTTCGAGGGACGATGGTTGAGGGTATGGATAAAAGGGAGCGCTGGAGTTTTGAGACAAGAAAAAAAATTGGACGAAGTGCCAAGGTTGAATGCAGAATTGCGTTATGACTACATATGCGGATTGATATCCAAGAGTGACGCGATGGAGACCGATAGATAGACAACGGTTCCAAAAGGGGATGATCGGATGAGAGATGCGGTAACGGAAGAAAGTTTAAAAAGGAATAAAAAGAAAAGAATATCGATAGGAGAAAAGATCGGGGTAGAAAAGGGTGCAAAAGAGCGTCAGCCCCTGTGGATTATAAACGACGATTGGGGAGAGAAAGGGCAGATGGACGAGGGACCACCCCCGAGCTTACCGACCCGGCCAATCCGTCGGGGCAAGACACAGCCTTGGGCACTTTTTTTTTTCGAGCGAAAGAGCGGAATGGATGACCACCACAGGGTTCGACCAAAGCGGGGCGGAATATGGACCGAAGGATCTCCACCAGAAAGTCGACAGGTTTGGGACGAGTCGGGGATAGGTCAGAACCCTCTGGCTGCACTCTGTCCCTGACTCTCCGTAGATAGTATAGTACTCCGTAGGCACTTAGTTAGAGAGTGTCCGGGGGAGGCGGACGGAGCCGAAACGAAGGCACAGAGGCAGAGAAAGGATGAACGAACCCCGACAGGGGGTTGAGACAAGCCAATACCCAACACGAAGGACCCCTCAGTCCCTCAATCTGATCGGGAGAGTGAACTACGGAGTACTACTCCGTTAGTCCTTCGTTGGGAGGATATCCCATCCGGCGCCAAGATGGACCAGGGTCCAGCAGCTGCTGCAAGGCCAACCCTCTCGCGTGCCATCTTTCCCGCCTGGTCCAGCGGGCTCCACTAGGCAGGATCCGGCGGTCATATCGCGTCGGTCGGGAGTAGCGGCCTCCGCCGCTGGGATAAGGGTCAAGGGTCAATTGTCAAGTCATTTGATGCGACATGAGATCCCTCGGCGGTGCTTTGTCGTCATAAGGAAGAAGATGGGAGACAAACAAGTAGTAGGGAGTAGAGTACAATACAGAGGTAAAGGCAGAGAAGAGGATGGGACTGCCGGATCTAACCAGATGGGGAAAGGCGTCGGGATGACCTGACACTTGTGTTTTAGTCACAATGCGTACTCCGTATTCGTATCGTCGATTTATGCGCATTATTTTGCACCCTACATCTTCGATAAGTATGCTGTATCTACCTACCTAACTACCGAGTAGATACACAGAATATAATCGCACGGAACAGACTCGAAAGACTCTCGACAGGAACAGGCAGTCCCCAAGTTACATACCGTACATCCAAGACCCAAGATCTCGATTCGGTATGAGATCATGAGACCAGATCCTTCCCCCTTTTCGTCTCGTCCTTCGATCGCGCCAAGGAACTTGCTGACCACCTGGCACTCTCCACCCATGGACCGTTGAAAGCACAGTACATAGTACACTACTACCGACTCATGACACCTTGACCGAATCATCCCATCTTACCTCACCATTACTAGATGGATATTACTCCGTCTGCCTCTGTGGATGATCCACCCGAACCGAACCAAAGACAAGGTACCGGTCCAAGCCATTATCCTTCGCCTCAGGATCACCCAGCCTCACACCCCACAAATACATCCGTTTGACAGCCTGGTCTCCAATAGGGTCTTTGGGGTTCTCGGCGGATAGCCTGATAGGGCTACCTCGGACTACAGGTGGACAGCGGCTGAGGCGCTGCACAGCGTACATGCAGAAGCATCGCCTCGTAGGGTTGCAACAGAGAGACCTGTCGTTAGAGAATAGTTGATACCCTGTTAATCTCGTTATCTCTGCTGCCTTGCCAGCCTCGTCTTGGCATCAATGAACAGTTCATCGCCTCTTTATCGGCCCCAATCACCATCCCTCTTTCGGCTTAAATCGCCTGTATGCCGAAATTACTCCATCTTGACTTCACCACTTTGTCTTTTGATAGTAATACGAGTTAAAAATATGCTTGCGACCAGAAAAATGAATCGTATACTTTTCCTGCTAGTCTATCCACAATGAATATCTAAAGTCCTTTGGTCCCAGACTCCGAATGTCACTCCTCAGTCCGCACCCATAGAGCTCCCGAGAAGCACACCGTTGCATCCCGTATATCTAACCATCTTTCATCGCAGTATTAAGAAGGGACCAAGCAGTATGGTCAAAATCAAGGAAACTGGCGACCAAGGCACCGGTGAAAAAAAAAAAAAAGCAAGTCTCGTTCTACATCGTGTTTTCATATCATGGCAAAGAAACAACAGAGGGGGAAAATATGACAGTGAAAGGAAATGGGTCTCAACATAATTGGATTGGTTCATGTCCATTTGTCATCACGCTTGCGCGGACGCAAGATCGGTGCTCAGCGATATACTGTCAGAGTATAAGTATCGGAAACGCCGGCCGAAGAAGCGAGCTATCGTTTACTGCTTCTCCTCGGCTTCCGTCTTCTCGGGCGTCGCCTCGCCTTCAGCCGGGGCATCTTTCATCTCTGCATCAGCCTTCTCGCCCTGAGACTCCTTGGCGGCCTCCTCAGCGGCCTTCTTCGCAGCCTCGGCCTCAGCACGCTTCTTAGCGGCTTCCTCCTCCTGGGCCTTCAGGATGGCCTGGCGCTCAGCCTCCAGCTTCTCGCGGTGACGCTGGATGATGGGGCCGGCGATAAACCGGATCTCATCCAACTTGGCCACGTAGATGGATTTGGTGGTGTCTTCACCCTCCTCGTACAGCCAATCCTATCACACAATTAGCGCACTGCACACGACGCGCGGGGAGAACTCAAAGTCACATACCTCCATGTCGGTCAGCTTAGACCGCAGCTTGTCCTTCTCCTCCTCGCTGGCGAACTCGGAGTAGACACCGTCGATCTTGTCACGAAGCTCGTAGATGGTCGACTCAAGCTCGTTCTTCTTCTCATCGGTCTCGGCGATCAACTTGTCCTCCATGTACATGGCGTTCTCACGCTCGATGAAGGCCTCCTTGACAGACTGGTCGATCGAAGAGGTGCCAGCCGAGATGGGCAGGTCACCCTTGCGAACCTGCTTCTTGACCTTGCGAGTCTTCTTGGGCTGCTCTCCGTTGGTGGCGTCGGTGTCCATGGCCTGGGAGAAATTGTTAGCTATCGCAGCGTAGGGGAATAAGGCCGAATCGGGGCAACATACATCACCATCCTTCTTGTCACCTTCCTCGGGGACGGGCTCCTCGACCTCCATATCCTCAACATAGTAGCCGGATTCGAGGTTCAGGATACCGTGCAAGTTCAAACGAGCCTTGAGCTTGCAGATCATGAAGTCATCATTGGCATCAGCCTTGACACCCTTGACAGAGAAGCGGCCAACCCAAGGGTTGATCTTTCCGGGCAGGTTTTCGGGTTCGGCGTAGCGAGCCTCGAGGTCGAAAGGCTGCTTGCGGTAGAAAGTGAGGATCTTGGTGGAGGGGAGAACATTGCCCTTGCCGAAGACCGTGAGGCTGGTGTCCTCATCAGGGATATCGGGAGACTGCTCCCAGGTGAACTCAATGGGGTAAGACACGATATCGTGCACGGCGAAGTCGCGCACACGGAAAACGGGGGAGAGGATGGCGCAGCTGAAGGCGCAACCACGGGCGATGGCCTCGTCCTGGTTAAGGGTGAAGGAGAGGTTCTTGCCGAAGAACTTGCTGATGGCGTCCTTGATGGCGGGCACACGAGTGCAGCCACCCACCATCTCGATGTGGTCGATATCCTCGGGCTTCATCTTCGCCTCAGCGAGGACCTGCTCGATGGGAACCGTGACACGATCGAGGAGAGGCTTCACCATGGTCTCGAGCTCCTCACGCTTGACGATGGCGCGCACATCAACGTCTTCCATCAGGGACTCGATGCTCATGGGGGCGGCAGGGTTGGCCGAGAGAACCTTCTTCATCTTCTCGGCGGAGGCCAGAGTACGGGCCCACGCCTTAGGGTGCGTGCGGACGTCGATCTTGAACTTCTCCTTGAACTCGTCGGCGAAGTGCTCAGTCAGAGCACGGTCAAAGTTACGACCACCGAAGTGACGGTCGCAAGCGGTAGCCTTGACGTTCAGCTCGCCCTTTCTGAACTCGACAATGGAAGCGGTGTAGTCGCTGTGACCGATGTCGACGAACATAACGCGACGAGGCTTCTCCTCGGGGCCAGGAAGATCCAGCTTGGTGATACCGTATCCAAGGGCAGTGGCCGTCGTGTCGTTGATCAGTCTCAGGACCTTGAGACCCGCGATCTCACCGGCATCGATCATGGCCCGACGCTGAACATCGGTGAACCAGGCGGGCACGCTGATGGTGACGTCGGAGACGGGAAGCTTCAGCTCCTTGGAGGTGATATCCCGGATCTTGGTCAGGTACATGGCAACCAGCTGGGTCGCCGTGAACTTCTCCTTCTTTCCCAGGTAGCTGACTTCGACACCGGCCTGGCCATTGACGTCACAAAGGGCAGCGGTGCTGTATTCCTGCTCGAGCTGAACATCGGGATCGTTGAAGGAACGACCGATCAGACGTTTGAGGTTGCCGACGGTGTTCTTGAGGTTAGAGGTCTCTTGCGTCTTAGCAGCCTCACCAAGAGCTCTGCTGCGGGCGTTGAAACCCACGAGGGTGCTATACAAATAATCCAGTCAGCCGTCATCCACGACCATCAAAAGGGAATTGCAGAAAAGAATGAGGAGTACATACGGAGTCGATCTGTTGGAAACTTCATTGGTGATCTAATTGAGGAGGAAAAATGTTAGTAAAAAGGTGGTTGTAAATTGGGCCTCAAAAAGAGGCTTCAAAACGGAGGGGAAAAAATCATCAGGCGGAGGGGCATGGATACGCACAATGTCGATACCCTTGTTACGGGCAACGCCGACCTTGGTGCTCTGAGCACCGAAATCTATTCCAACGACACTCATTGTGTAGGGAGTTAAGAAGGGGGGGAGTAGGGGACGGAAGAATGGAGAGGGAGAAGAGAGATAGTGGTATCAAGAAAAGAATTGATGGGGGAGGAGGGGAGGTTCCAGAGCACAAGAAAAGAGCGAGAGCGTCGGAGGGGAATATTTTGCAGGCGGCCGCGCCACCGAGTGGTCCCAAGTGTGGCTAGTGAACGGTTCAAGCGGTGAGGCAAAAAGTACAGAGTACGCAGTCCCACAGATAGAGAGAAGGGTGAGGTGGAGGGAGAGGCAGATAGAACGGGAGAGAAAACCAGCAATTAAGCAGAATCGGTAAAAATCTGACCAACAACGGTTTTGGTGAAGGTCAAGGCGGTTGATATGACTTTCATGAAGTTCTTCATCGAACCTTCTGGCTCCTGCTGGATGCTGCGCCTCACCGCCTGTTTTGATCGGGCAGAATATGACCGCTTGGCGGGGCTTATCGATACCGCCCCGGGTGCCTGATCCATGAGGTTTGCCCCGTCTTCGCCTTGGTAGAAACATGTGGCAGATTCGAAGAGGACAGATGACACTGATTCCAAGCCCACTCCTCGACTGCCCCGGTCCAACCAGGATCGAGTTTGTCATATATACTCCGGAGTAGAACTAGTCTGTTTGGCTTGTGGACCTGTAGCGACACCAGCAAAACGCACATCACCCGAGAGAGCAATTGGAGACGATCCACCAGCGAACAGCGACAGGGCTTGGCTGGAGCCTGGAATACCTCCAGGATACCTTAGTACGATGGGTGGCAGTATGCCATTTTAGTAGACTCTATGTTACCCCATTAGACAGCTTATAGAGACGTTGAGACCGACTACATCTAGGCAAAAATGCCAGTGAGGATGCAGCGTGATACTCGTAGAGTCGACATATACGTCGGAAGTGAATGCGAGATACCATATTTCCGTCTGATCACTTTCTATTGCTGACGTTAAAGATCACCGAATGTCCATCACGGCATGCAATGCACTCAAGTTTGTCCAAGTGCGGCATCATATTCTTGTTGGGCCTCATAACGGTCAGTGACTATCGGAAGAGTCATGTACAGTGCTTCGCCAATGACAGCTCAATTCTCAAATTTTCCAATCGTGCAACTGTATCTGCATACATTCCTCTCAGGTCGGTAGAAGCTGAAGATAATGTATCTAGATCCTCGGGGTAGCTAACACGACTCGCCGGTAGTGTCGTTTGCTTGGAGGATGCTATGACACTTTTTACGGCGTACAGAAAGATGGCTCCGTTATACACAGGCCCCTTGCGCGCGCGACGGCGATGACTACATATTCATGAGGTCAAGTCCGATTCCGCCTGCTACTGGCCCATCGATCTTAGCCTTGTTGTGGTGGCGAAAATATCCATCTAAGCGCCGCTGGCGGTGACGCTAGAAGAGCCCAGACCCTTGAGAGAGGAAGACTATATCAAGTTTATGTCCATCGCTTCCGCACGATTCCTCCACTGGTCTTAGACTCTACTTTGGTTTGTTTACTTAGAACCACATCTTGATATGCCCCGTTTCTTTCTACCAGTTTCTGCCCTCTACATTCGCGTGGTCAATTGACTGCAGGAATAATTACCTCCGAACACTGAAGCCAACCGCTAAGCAATTCCCACTGAATATGGTGCAAGATGCTGGATGGACCACGACAGGCTCTTCTAGTGAGGAATACGAGATCACATTCGAGATCGCGCCTCCAACTGAAGTAAGGCCGAAATCGCCTTTTCCATTACCGGTGATTGCTGCAGTTCGTTCCCTACCTAGAACATCCACAGTCGGCTCGGGTCAGCAACTCGTCGCACATGCTTCGCTCAGGGACGAAACGGGCTCTACCGTGGCCCCTGGGTTGACGGGAAGCTTGACATCTAGTGTACGCAGCCGCTCTGGGAACACAGCCAGCGGGTATGGGCGGTTCGATCCACTGCTCATTACACAACCGGGCCGGTACCGTCTTCGAATCATGCTGGGAATTGCATCCGTCGATGGAATGATGACGAAAAATTACGTTGGTTCGGATATCATCACGGTGCATGATGAAGCCGGCAATCAACGACCAAGTACGTATCTCTATAGTATGACAGTACGTCGGTAGCTGAAGGACTTCTAGCACCCAGCCAAATTACGAGACTCCGGTGCTAGATCCCAGAGAACATTGACATACGACCTGAGGACATTGAAGACTGGCAAAGGCTATCGTAATATATTGTGTGTTGTGAGGATAACTTTTCCTTACAATGATCACCTATAGCCTTTTCTCAACCTGAGACATCATACATGGACATTGGAACAAGCAGCCCTGTGATATGTCTTTTGATGCCCCTAATATCGTGACTGATGGTACACCCAAGCGGAGTATTCCGTCTCCTTTACCTAGTACAGTATGATTTGCATCGTGGTCAGTAGGCTAATGCTCTTGTTGTCTACTAAATCAGGTTTTCTTCATGCATGATTAAGGAACAGACAGGGGGGAAAAATCTCCCTTCTCCGCACTGGCGCTTCTAGTGTCCGTGGCCCGCATATCCAGGGCAAACAACCCTCTTTCAATCAGGCCGGTTAGATTAGAGTGCTGATTGGCGCATGACGGGCTGTGGCGAATTATAACCCTTATCCGAACTATGCCCGAGACATTCAAAGAGACTGGTGTCCTGACCGTATCCTCTATGCAAACAACCGATGTATACGAAGACGGGGCGGCCAATTGCACATGGGGTTTGCATGCCAGCCGCCACACCGATAGACCAATGCTCCTCAGTAAACAAATCGTCCTAGGAAAGAAGTAGGTCCATGGTACCTATCAGTCTTCCAAATTACTGTTACACCATATCGTCCGCCCTATTTGCCATTGGTTTTGTCAACTGTCTCCGTGGTTTCCTGAGACGTTTACGCTTGGAGCGTTGGGGTTCTCGGGTAGTCTCTGCAGGATTAGCCGGAGGAGAAAACAACGATGGACCTGAAGGAGAAAAGCCGCGGTCGTCTGGACTATTCTGAAGGACTGGGGCAAGTAGAAACGGTGGAAGCTGTTGTGTTGCGGGTTGACGGCCATTAAAATCAACATCATAGAACCGGTTCCGCGTCGGATCCTGCAAATAATCATCCTGGATGTACTCTGCATGCGTGTTTCGCATAAGGTTCGCCGGTTCCTGCATCTGCCGAGCCAAATAGAGCTTCGCCCGATCCACGTCGTTCATCAGATCTTCAACGTTTTCAGGGATGCCGATCGAGTCCGGCTCATATTTGGAATGTAACTCCAGAGAATCATCATGGCAGAAGCTTGCGTGAGATCCACCAGCAGGAGTTCGGGGTAGCGTGGTTCCAGACGACGAGTTATACGGCGGTGAAACAAATGCGAGGCGCTTATTGAGCTTCTCGGCTGGATGAATTGGTATACCTTTTCTTTCGACATCTTCGCTCGATGTAGGAAGCTTGGTGTAGTGCGCATCATCGCCGTTATGTACGGCGTGCGTGGCGATCTCCTCACTGGTAGCACTACCATCGGCTTTTGCGGCGTCGGCGCGAGGGCCTCCCCATGTCCGCTGTCCAGCGGTGAAGATACCGTATACCATGTAGAGCCAGTTGAAGAACGGATTGATCACAAACACCAACGGGTAGAGCCAGGCTTTAAAGCGCTTCAGCTTCAGTCCAAAATAGAACATGAGCAGGTAATTGAGCCCCAAAGAGATTGCGATGAAACCCACTGGGAGGTCTTTGATCTTACTGGACGTGGTCATGATGGATATGATCTGAATGGTGAACAGCAGCGCAGTGGTGCGGATGGTGTTCTGCATGAACCGCATGAGGCATAACAGCGGATAGCGCATCCACAATCTGATATCGGTCAGCATGCAGACCTCGTTCGTGATGTAGCCGAGGAACCATCTTCGCCGCTGTTTCAGCAGGCTCCGGAACGTCTGCACCGCCTCGGTCTTGCAGAAGGCGCTGGAACACATCTGGATCTGGTAGGCTTGCCGGGCTCCGATCATGAAGAGGTGCGTGAGCATGCGGTCCTCGCCCAGGTGGCATTTCGCGTAGTCGAAGAGGTCCTCACAGTGTTCGATATTGTCGGCGAAGTAGTACTTGGCCATTTTGCGGAACGCTGAGAATCGCAGCATCGTCAGGGCCCCAGGGAGACAGGTCACTGCGCCGCACCCAGATTCTACGGAGCGCTCGAAAAGCTGTCCGTGGAGATACTCCACATCCTGCAGGACCGTCAGAAGAGAGTTCCGCTTTGTTGTGGATGTGATGACGCCTGTCATGGCGAGCATGTTGTGCTTGCTTCCAGGCTTTAGTTCCATGTCGTACATGAAGTTCTGCAGGCAGAATTTGTCCAGGATGCAGTCAGAGTCTATGAACAGCATGAAAAGATCGTCGTTGTATCGAAGGTAGTTGGCGTACACCTTATCGATAAGCTGAAAGGTCTTCTTTTGGCAGTGTCTCTTGCCACCATGCTCGAAGCGGGACACGGTAATGCGTGCGCCTTTGTAGGTCACGTCTATGCTCTGCGGGTATGTCTCTAAGGCAATGGGAATCCCAAGATGATGGAGAATCCGTAGATATGGTTCGTCAATGGCGACCCCATCGTAGGAGAGAAATACGTGGATACAATTTCGCGGGTAATCGCTGTCGACGACAGAATCGATTGCCTTGACCAGAACGTCGGGGTCCTCCTTGTACACGGGCATGACCACGACGGCTTTGGGGGCGGTGCGGTCGTCAAGGACTTGCTGGATCTGCTTCTGTCTTCCGACGGAGTGAGTGACCTGCCCGTAGATGCAGAAAAGCCATGGTATGATCAGGAGGGCGGAGAAAGACCAGAATGCGAACCATTGGAGAAACGAGACCAGTCGAAGCGGGTAGTACTGTGTAATCCCTCGCGGTAAAGGGAGTGTGACGATCATGATGGGAAGGAAAATGCCTCTTCAAGGCATTGGTCAGTTGCCTGCTTCCCCTGCTACTGAGTGGTGTACGTAGGTACCTGAACGAGGCGAACAGAATCATCATGATGACTGCAAGGACTTTGATGCTCCAGTGCTCGGCTTTTTGGTAGACCTTGGCGAGGCAGTATAGGAATGCAATGAGGAAGAGTATCCACTCAACGAAAGCTGCTAGCATTAATGGACCGATGATGGACACGAAGACGATCTTGCACATGGTTAGACGGGTGAATGAGAGTGGATGGACTTGCTTACATCGTTGACCGGCCACGACTGTCCCCGACTTTCTGCCATGGCGACGCTTCCTCGATTTGCATATAGTCAGAGGGCAACAAACCGGGACAATGTGTTGAAATAGAAGAAAACGTCACATTCAAATGTACATGCAGGACGAGAATTACACGCATGTAAGGACCAGAATGTCGGTGAGTGTCTTGCATGACAGAGGAATCAAACCGTCATGCAGCGATGAGACGAAAGAACATTCGGGAATGAGACAGACGGTCTCGGGAGGATGCAAGAGAGATACAGAGGATGCCATCTCCAGGTGTAGCAGAAAGGAGGTAACTGCCTAGTGGCAAACAACGTGCAAAATAGAAAGGTTGCATTGCTCCAGCATAGGTACCGTTCATAGACCATCCTAGAGCCTCCCTGTAGATGGGTAGCAGATGCTACCTATCCCTAACAGACTGACCTGGCGTGTTCTTTGTTTCACCTGCTTGCAGACAGAGACGGGATGTTGTTTGGTGGTGTCATGTAGGAGATCGCCTAAAAATAGACTCTGGGGTAGTACAACCGGCCATTTTCACATGGATCGTCCAGGTGTGGTTGAAGGGAGAGCACATTCACGACTTGGAGGTATCCTGGCAATTTTGTGGTAGAAGCGATCGATATACAGAGGCTCAGCCGCCTTCAGACCGTATCCTGTATCGCATGAAGTGCGAACTATGAAGTCCCAATCAGGGAATCTGTATACTTCCCAATCCCGTTAGTAGGAGCCCGTCGACTGTTCCCCTTCAGGATTAGTGTTTCTGCCTGAGGCACGATGTGGCTGGTGCCGTGGCTGAAGCTCCGCCGCCTCTTGAAAATTTCCCCCGCCGCGCATGAATCTTTTTTTCTCTCTCCATCGGAGAAATTTATCACTGGGAAGTATTCCGTTTGTCTGATCCTTTGAATCCCTCCCAGCGTCCTGTCTTCGGTCCTATCTGCAGGTAAGAAACCTCTTCCTTACCTCCATGTCCTCAAATGCGTGTAGTCCGATTGCGCATCCACGCCATTGGCGCGTGAATCATCCATTCCGTCTCACTGAGCTTTGACTCGAGTCACATCTGATCACCACGTCGCCTCGTCGCTCGCGATCATGAATGCGAATTAAACTGAAGAACCCGCTAACTCATCATCACCCACAAAGACATTCCATCCTCTCTTTCAATCCTCACACGACACCATTTCAATCATGTCTGCCGAACAAAACGTCGCCAACACCAACGCCGAGGCGGAGAAGGATGTTCAGAACGTCCTCGCTGAGCTGAAGGGTGAGACGGAAGCTCCCGCCAATGGCGCGGAGAAGAAGGAGGAAGGCCCCAAGGAGGATGCCGAGGAGGCGCGCATTGTCGCCGAAGCGGCCAAGCTGGGTCAGCAGTCTGAGAAGGCCGAAGAGCAGAAGACCAACGACCACCGGGGTCGCTTCCGTCGCAACAACGCCAAGTTCGATCCTAGCTCCCAGAAGGTCACCGACGACCCGGTTGAGATCCGCAAGCAGGTCGAGTTCTACTTCTCCGACTCCAACCTGCCCATGGACAAGTTCCTGCTGTCCAAGGTGGGCGGTAGCGCCAATCGCGCCGTGCCCCTCGAGCTCCTCCACTCCTTCAAGCGCATGCGCCGCTTCCAGCCCTTCAGTGCCATCGTCGAGGCTCTCAAGTCCTCCGAGACTCTGGAGCTGACGGACAACGACACCGCCGTGCGCCGCAGACCCCCCTTCCCGAGACGGTCAAGGACACCCACGACCCCAACGTTGTCAAGGTCTTCGAGGACAAGGCGATGAACCGCAGCATCTACGCCAAGGGCTTCGGCAACGAGGAGCCCACCACCCAACTCGATATCGAGGCCTTCTTCGCGCCGTACGGCCCCACCAACGCCATCCGTCTTCGTCGCGCCAACGACAAGAGCTTCAAGGGTAGCGTGTTTGTCGAGTTCGAGTCCGAGGAGAAGCAGAAGGCCTTCCTTGCCCTTGATCCCAAGCCCAAGTGGAAGGGCCAGGACCTGCTCATCAAGAGCAAGAAGGAATACTGCGACGAGAAGGTCCGGGACATTGAGGCCGGTCGCATCAAGCCCAGCAACAACTACCGCGGCCGCGGTGGCCATCGCGGACGGGATAACCGCGGCAATCGCCGGGGCGGTGACAACCGTGACTGGCGCGAGCGTCGCGCAGAGGACCAGAAGAAGGGCTTCCAGGAGAAGGAGCCCCGCCAGGAGATCCAGAAGGATGCTCGGTAAGTTGCTTCGGCCCTTGTCTCTTCCTCAAAAACATCGGACACCATTGCTAACAGCGGACAGGGGTGTTCCCGTGGTGCAGAGCACTGCTGAGCCCGAAGCTGGCCAGAAGCGCGCTCGCGAAGACGAAGCCGCCAACGGCGATCACCCGGCCAAGAAGGTCGATGCGAAGGAGTAGATCATGATATCCACGGATGTTGATTGAGCTTTTCTTTTTTCTTCTGTTCGGTCCGGATGTTTTTGCAGGGATGATAAAGCATGCTGCACTGGCTGTCTTGAATTCACCGAGGAAATGTTCCTTTTTCTTGTTTTCAATGGATGACCCCCTAACGGCGTTATGTGTCATTTTGTATCGTTTTCATGCTAGGAAGACATAAAAGTCCATGGATGGCCCTTGGAAGCCGATTCTCATTCCAATTGACTCGAAGCATCTCTATCTTATCATCATCACTCAAACTCCATGTCATACGCCAATGTATCCTCGCACAGTTCTTCCCGCATCTTGTGGACCCTAGCGCATGTCAGATGGGAACAGAAAAAGAACAGGCCGGCAAAGAACCTACTCCAGATGAGCCGGGTGCACGGCGTACGCTTCCACATCCTTTGGCGTCTCCAGCACCGCAACTAGGCCCATGTCAAAGCCCTTGGCGCGGGGAACGCAAATCGGCAACGGAGGGTTGGCCTTGAGCGAGATGAGGCCAGGAATCTTGCCCACCATGGCCTGGGCTGTTTGTGTCCAGGTGGCTATCTGCGCTGGAGTCACGCCTTGCTTAAGGCGGAACAAAACTGGGCTTGTTACCTCTTGCTTCATGCCTGTGGGTAGTCGGTAAGATGTGCAGTAAACATACCGATGTGGTAGACGGGCATTGTGTCTGTGCTTGTGCAGTTGATCTGTAGAAGTTGATGGAGTTGGATGAAGTGGGTGGTTTAAATGAGGGGAAGAGAAGATCATCGGGATATCTCCGACGAGGGGATACTCCGGTTGAGCAGCTCTTCCATCAGCCCTTCTACATTCTAATATGGACCGCATACTGGAGTGTTATTTGTATCCTCAATTCCTGGAGGTATCATCTCAATGCACAGTATCCTATCGGGCTACACGTCTGGGTATTATATAGAGATCCATGAATATAACCTCATATATGCCAATCAAGACGAAGCATTATTTCTTCTTCTTCTTCGTCTTGTCCACCACCTCAATCCACTGAGACTTCAGTCCCCGTCGCAGCAGCGCCGTTTCCAAGGCGCGTCGTTGATCGCCCTGAACGAGCACCTCCATGACTCCCTTCGGAGCCCCATTGGCTTGGGCGACGCTAGTGCTACTGGCGCATTTCTTCTGGAGCTCTTCGGCAAGCAGATTAGGGACGATACCGAACACCTCCAGATTCGACACCTTGGTGACGGTCTTGGAGCCCGTACGGCGCTCGAGAGTCACATTCACTCTCGGCGCCGCACCGGCCTTGGGCTTCACATCTGCCAGAGTCTGGCCTGCCCGAAGGATCGCATAGTGTGCGGTCATGAAAGAATGATCCTCCGTGATACGCTTCAGGAGTGCGTCGCGAGTAGTCTTTCCACGGGCCAGAGTGCTCCTGTCGTCGTTGGACGAGGACGAAAAGATAGTGTTGGCAAGGAACGGGTTGAGATTAATGATGCGGCGGTTTTGTGGATCGACGATGGAGGGGCTCTGAGATTGCAGATACTGGTCCAAGTTGTTGGACACGTCGGTATATCGGTAGAAGTTGGACGGATCGCTGGTCGACCGTGCAGGGAATATTGTCGGAACTAATTTCGATGTTGGTCGGTATAGGGTCTGCACGGTAAGTGTCTGCCCGACAGACGAGTCCCCTTCTGTGGCAGGAGGTTTCTTGTTTCCAGCAGCACTCTTGCCCGCGTTTCCAAGGGCAGCATTCTTGGATGGGAGTCTATAAGGGACGAACTCCTGGACGCGGCGGTCGTTGAAATCAACATCCATGATGACCGTTTCACCGCCACTGCGCTCTTTGGATAATACCAAACGCTGTTTTCCCAAGTGCTTGATAAACTTCTTGACGTTCTTCCAGCTGGTCTTCTTGATGTTGTAGAACTGCGACTGCTGTGCCGAGAAGATCGGTAGATACGGGGACACCATGTTCGATATCACCGCAGAGGGCTGGATTGGAAAAGACAGACCATAGTTGGGGGCCGTAGGGTTGTCTTGTTTGAGTTTATATAGAGAGTACAGGAAAGCCCTTTCGAACACCAGATCGATTTCTAGCCATCGTTAGCATTCAACAACATAGTTCGGAGATATGGAGATTCCTACCTGCCGTCGACGGCTCCTTCTCAACAACCGCAGGCTCTTCAGTCGGCTCTTCGGGCGCCTCGCCTGGTTGGTCTTCCACCTCTGCTGGAGAGCCTTCGTTCTCACCCAATCCGAGGCTATCAACTCCCTCTTCGACCTCACGCAGCTCTTCTTCTTCCTCCTCTAACTCGTCATCCCAGCCTTCAAGATATTCCGGCGCAGGCTGACCAGGCCTGGATGCCGAACTCCACGCCCATATCTCATCGCCCTCCCAGTGTAGTCCACGAACAGCATGCCCCTTTGTGCCTTGAACTTCTCCCAACGCTGAGACATCAATCTCACAGATTCCAACAAACATCGGCACAGTATGCTTATCCAGTCCAGCAACCGCAACCACCGCCCCCTTCACTGCCCGCTCGGGGAAGGGAGGCTCATCCGCCAGACCAGGAGTCATGAGGTCCGCACCGCCGCGGAGCTTTCCCATCACAAAATCCGGGGTATGTAGGAGGGGTACCAGGTTCGGGTTCTGCCACAAAGTGTATACGGTGGGGTAGAGTCGTCCATCTGCGCCGGGACCATGTTCCAGCTTGAACCACAGGATCCGTTCATCGCCTCCCGGATGCGATCCGACGTACACGGTGCCCTGCACTTCTCGCAGCTGAGGGCCAGCGGTGGTTGTGAACCGCGCCGATTGCGAGTTTTCGGGTAGGAGGGAGTTTCTAATCGAGGTCAGGTTGGGGGCAGAGCTATTCGGTTCATCGCTGGCGGGCTGCTGGGCCGGGACCTCGATTTTGTAGTCGCTGATAATCTGATCAGCGATCTTGCGACGGTCGGAGGATCGCAGGGGCGAGAGGTTTTTGATCTGTGCCCGCCGTAAGTCATGGTGGTCGTTGAAATGTCTGATGGAGGGGTATGCGGGGGAGGGGTAACTCACTGTGGGCTTCTTTTTAAACATGATGTCAGAGACGGGTAGTAGGTGTTGACTGTGATTGTTAAGTGAGAGAATATCAGCCCATCAAACCAGGTCTGGGGTTGATAGGGCACTGGGAATGGCAGAGCGCAGAGAACGAGAGGTGAGGAGAAATCGAAAGCGCTGGACAACAAAAAAGATCGGCGGTTTGCTTCCCCGCTTCCGAGATGCTCGGATAGAACAGAGTAACGCAAGTAGCCATAGATATACCTGTTAGTTATTGATCTTGGTGCATGAGAGGATCTAGGCCCAGCTCGAGTCATTAATCATTTCGTGACTAATTAACTGACTGTTTTCGCATCATTCTGACTCATTCCTGTATCTCTCGCGTACATCCAGTTCCTGTTACTAATCACAATCAAGTAGGTACGAGGAATACTACAGCTGAAAAAGTAGTGCTCTGAAAATGATAAAATTTTGGTATTTAACACAAAAGGTCACAGACCCTGTCTATAAGAAAAGGAGTTGATAGTCGAAGGAACGAGCGCAACAATCGAAGGATTCAGAAAGAGAGTCGTTCGGTCATACTCTCATCCCGTGATCACCTCTAGGCAGAGAGGTCACGGGCGTGCTTCTTGTCGGTGATCAGCCAAGAAAGAGTCTGGCGGAGAAGGTTCAGGAACTGCTCGGCACTCAGGGAGTTGAAGTAGTCAGACAGGCTGCTGCTACCACTAGGAGTGGGAACACTGGAGGAGCCAGTGCCAGTGCTGGAGCCGGAGCTAGAGCCAGTGCTGGATCCAGAGCTAGAACCGGAGCTGGAGCCAGAGTTGGAACCAGAGCTAGAGCCGGAGCTAGGGTCCTGCACCTTGGTCTGCTGGGGCGCTTCGGCGGTAACGGTGACACTCTCAATAGTGGTGGCAGTCTGGTAGGCAGTAGCAGTGCTGGTTTGAGCCGAAGGAGCGGCGGAGGTGGGGGCAGGAGCAGAGCTGGTGGGAACGGCAATGCTGGTGCTGGAGGGAACACTGCTGGAGGAAGGAGTAGCAGCAGCGCTGGAGCTAGCTGAGCCCGAACCCGAGCCGGATGAGCTGCCAGAGTAGAGGGCAGGACCGGGGATCACGTACGAGGACAGAGTCTGGTAGATGTTGACGAGGATACCAGGGTCAGTGTCCTTGTACAGAGCGGTACCAAGGGTGCCAGCCGGCTTGTCGCTGCCGCCACCAGTAACCTTGAGGTTCATGCACTGAGGGTAGTTCTGGGCGCCATCCTTGTTGCCAGCGGAGTGAAGGCCAATGATCTCGTGGCGCAGGACATAGTTGCCAGAAGCAATGCTGCTGGGGATGGTGACAGTCCAACTGTTGTTGTTGCTGATCAGCTGGTCACTAGCCCAGGTGTTGCCCTCAATGAGACCCTTCTGATCAATCTTGAAGAACTCCAGCGAAGTCTTGTCGACCGAGGAGCAGTCGCCGTTGCAGTTGGCCAGGTAGGTAATGACAGGGCCGTGGTGGCTCTCGGGCCATTCGGTCCACTGCAACTCGACCTTGCCACCGGCAGTAATTTCAGCAGAGAGAGAGCCAGGCTTAGCGTCCTTGTGGCAGATGATGTCAGGCTCGGAGTACTCGGTGCCGTCAACGAAGCCGAGGTCGGTGGCGGTGGTCGACCAGCCGATGGTGGCCGGAGGGTCGCTAGAGTAAGGGGCAGAGGTGACATCGTAGCCAGCATAGTACTTGCCATCGACGACGGCACCCGTAACGTAACCATGGCCAGCGACAAGGGCCGCAGAGCCGAGGACAACGCCAGCAATCTTAGCGACAGACATGTTTGCAAGGACTGGAAATAATCTGGTTGATCAACGCACAGCGTATATAATCGAGAAATGACCGGAGTGGTTAATGCAAAGAAGGACGAAAAAACGAATGGTCTTCAATCAATGAAGCCGAAAGAGAACGACAGGTACCGAGACCTTGGGAATGAAAGGAATGCAGAGCTGATGAGGAGAAGAAAGCTTCTGCAACATGGTGAACTGCTGGCTTTATATAATGACTTTGGCCATGACTAGCTCGTCCTGGGAGTCTCCGTCGACGGAGCACAGATCACACCGTCGTTCCCAGGTGTGGACTCGATAAAATGAAAAGTTCGTCACAGGTCAACCATGTGGCCACTTGATTGTCTGAGAGGTATTGCATGCTATCCCTGTATCTGTCTCTGTGATAGGTGGAAAATCGACATCGACAGGGGCCTCATAACGTAGAGTCTGAGATTGATGATGGCCGTGAGCTCGGGGGTCTTGTCCAAACACGCCAGCAAGGCCGAGACATCGAAGACAGGAACCTCCGCCAGGGAAGTGCCCTATTCAGAATTAGCCTGTCCCAAATCAGCTGCATGAGAAACACCCGGAGCTCTTAGCGTCGAGTACGGGCTATCAAACCGAGTAAGTGGAGATGTACTAGGGGTCTTTTAGGCGCCGGCCTGCGACACCCTAAGTTTCAACATGGGGGCGCTTGTTCGGTCCCGACTCCGCCCTGCCAAGGTTTTATATTAAATCTCCGAGAAAGTTGGCGCTAGGTAGATACTTTGGTTGTCCACGGGAGAGCAATGTTTGGGCGATTTGGACTCAGATACGAGGTGGTGTTGGCAAAGGCGTTGACAGGATGTCATTTCCAAGCATGGATGAAGTAGGGCTTCTAGGGCACGTGCTTTCCGTCGACCTCGTAGATACGCCGTATGTACACATCCTATCCTCTTTCCTTCATCTTCTATCATGGTCATGGAAGAGGATCCTGCTGAAACGGCTAGGGTACATGGCATGGGAACAGCGCAGACTAGGGGTCCATCATCCCCATCGCAGAATGATCCCCACGTCATCCACCGTCGGCTAGCGATGGCAGATCGCGCCACACCATTTTATACGTTAAATCGGGCTGTTGAGACACGGGACTACGGAGTAGTTAGATTGCGGGATCCGAATCCATTGCGCTTGGCCAACTGCCTATCATCATGCCGGTTCGGATCATTGTGTTCGTCTGGTTCGTCCAGGGTGCTTGAACTACCTGAGTTTCAATAAACCCTTTACAGTGGGCAGCAGGACATACTTTGTACACTATCGCCACCCGGGCTTGAGCAATCAGTCTGGAGTCACAAAGCCGTCATCTACCCATCTAGTTGGTACGGCTGTGACTAGAAACAGTCCATCATAGGCCACCTCTCCCACCTGTGAGTACAGGCTGTCTAAATCTCGGTCCCTCGGTTGTAGGCCTGGATATTTGTCTGTTGGTGCAGGGGTCAATCTACATAATCTTTCCAGGTCCTCAGTCTGAAACACTCCCACCGGGACTACTGCCTTCGGAATATATACTTCTAACCCTAGACCCTCCATCAAGAGGCAAGGGTATGCTAACAGACACCATAGCCCCAGTTTGGACTGAGGCAAGCTTTTCAGCATGGGCATTCCTTTCCGGATATTGTCCGAACCCTAGCTTGAAGCGTACACCCACATCCCACATCTCCTGGGACAAGCGCCAATAGAGTACATGCTCCATAAATGCCTGCAACTAACTATGTATGTAACTCTGCTTTGTCTCGGACAGGTTCCTCTCCGCGGGGGAACGTCTCCAGTATGGGATGGCTGCCCGACATACATGGGAGGCAGTGTGCTTTATGACTATCCCCTAAGAGAACGCCATATGATGGTCTTTGATATGGATTACGGTTTCATGAGCTCTTTGGCGCCTTTAGTAGTGACCCGCAGGGATTGGAACGTAGGAATACCCACGTAGGTGAACTATGACAGCCCTGCTATGTAGGTACAATCCTGGCGCGTGCAGCTTACATGACTAGTTCTTGAGTAACCCCTTTCGCCCTTCGGTGGTCTCGTGAAAGTACAGTCCTTCCATCTTCTTCTTCTGGGTTCGTGGTGGTTTGCTCTGGCCCAAATTAATATAGGACGCAGGGACAAGAGCTCCTTCTGGGTACAAGTCTCTTGTGCAAGCGAAAAGATGCATTGAGGCAAAACTCGTCATCCTCAAATTGGGTATCGTGGACTTGTGCCGCCAGATGCGCCTCGGCGGGATCCTCAAAATGACATCTGTAAAGACGTGCCTCCTGAGTCACGCGGCGTTCGAGATGCCAGGAACGGTCAAATGCAGATAGGACGGGCCTACGTTGCATTCCAGTAGCCCCTGACATTCTGTTGTTGTCATCCCTAGCAGAACCGTCTGTTCCACTTGACCAGGGTTTTCTATGATATATTTTGGATGTAGGAACGCCTTTTCTTATCCGGTCAGTTACGGTCATGTTAGGTATATATATATATAGCTCAGGTTGTTCTAACCAGGTCTAAGCACAATCACCAGAATTCAAGGCTGGTATATGTAAAGGGCACTACGGTTGGCACAGGGCGGAAATCCGAGAGCACAAGATCCGGGTCTCGAAAGACAAATTCAATGATCAGCCACGTTAACAGTTGGATTCAGGAGAGACAAAATTCTTCGTGATTGCTAGTAACTAGTGACGTGATCGCCCCAGAAGGGAACCTTATTCTTGATTGCTGAACACGAGCCTCGTGCTCGATTCCGATATCGACCGACTGGGCCGCGCGGTGGCAGCTGGGATGAGAGGGGGTTCGTTCGTATCATGCATCATATCATCATATCGTATCTCGAGATAGTTGACTGGTGGGCATCATTCGTGGTGGCGAACTGATCGAGTGAATTGTTGCAGCCTCCAGTAACGCCGGGTGATGATTGTGTGCAGGATAGCTGACACCTCAGAGCTTGGGAAAAGCCCGTTATCTTGCTTCAAACTTGACGAATCTTCCCTGCTGCAGCATGCAGTATCAGACTAAGGCATGGGCTCGATAGTCTCCGTGTTCGCTATGCCTTTGCGTCGGCCATCCACGCACGGTCGCTGACGAGGGACAAGGCCAAGTCGTGTAACTGCTTAGCTCGCATTGGCCTGTCTCATGGCAGGAGTGGTGTCCTCCGCAGGTACGCCCTTAGCGCAACTTGCATTCAGGCAAAAGACAGAGGACGGACCTGATGTGAGGGATGCCAAAAGAGTGAGTGCGTCGGACGGTGTATGACAGCATCCAGCATGAACAATTCCAGCTGATGGAGGACTGTTGACCAGAATGGGATAGATACAGACGAAACAATGGCCCAATGGGGAAGTCAACGTGGTGAGGCTTAGTCAGTGAAGTGCTGGCCAATAAAAAGCCGGGTTATTGGGAGCGAGTGGCTCAAACGGGTTTAGCGGAAACCTCTCACCGTGAAAGATTACCAACCATACAAACCGTACAAACCATCCATACTATCGATACATACCTACATCCGCCGATGGAGATTCCATGGATTCAATAGTCGCCCTCGCTCTCCCTCTCTCGACAAGAAAATCCTGCTCCCTCCTCTCCACCGGATCAAGTTCATATCCCATCGTCTCTGCATTTGTCCGCGGAAATAAGGACCTTTCTTATTTTCATCACCCTCCTGGATTGGATACCTGGAGTCTCGTACAGCCGTGTGCGAACTGTCACCGCCCTGGCATTTTCGGTATTTTTTCCCGCCTCCCTGTCCGCACGAAAACAGCGGCTAGGCTTCCCTCCCCTTTCTCGTCTCCGCCGTTGACACCCTCCCCCGACCTTAATTCTCAACCAACTCTCAACTCATATCTGCCCCCTCGCTCCGTCGACTCCACTACTTGCGATTTGCCTGCGACGAACTTCGATGGGTGAGGGGCATTGTTAGTCGAAAAAATATAACTCGGTACGGTCTTGCGCGCCATCAGAGCCTCCCGTCTTCCGGTCAATTTCTCCGCCTCACCCGTCATCTTACGAATCTCACCCACCTCGCATCCTCCGCGTTGAGATTGAACTGGGAGTAGGACATCAAGAGAAGCATCGCCCGCGGCTGTTGTACGTCGTCCCTCCATTCGCTCTGGACGTCTTTGAGGATACGTGAAAGAGGATGGGACCGGCAGAGACCGCCTCTTCGCCTCCGTTTTCTGTCCTGGAACCGATCGTGGTCGACGATCAGATGGAAAACCCCTATCAAGACTCAAACCTAGATTTCCTGGATTCCGCCAGGCTGCAGATGTCGTCCGAGAACGCTGGTCGGGATTTTGACGATCTTTTTGCCCATTCGACTTCCTCTCGCACCGTCACGGAATCCGGTTCGGTGTGCTTATCGCCGTCGGAGCTGTCAGTCAAGAGGCCGTATCAGGAACAGGATGTGCTGAGACAACCTAATCTCGTGAAATCTGACTCTCCCGCCGAGTCTCCGGAAGCCTCCAGCCGTAGTTCGTCGTCAGAGTCGCCGCGCAATCACAATCGAAACCCGTCGGTCGCGTCGTCCACTTCCGCTGTCCATAGCGAAAACACCATGATGCCATTCGGATACACCTCAGAAGATTGGATCAATCCAGATCTCGCGACAGTGAAAGAGGAAATGATGTTCGGATTCGATCCATCGTTACCCAGCATGGAGACCGACACGCCGTTCACCGCCGAGACCGATCTGGAATCAAGTAACAAGGCGATGGATGCTGCTTTCGATTTTGAAAGTGCTGCGAGTAGCCCGAGTCCCTTGCGAACTGGCACCACCCCACAGCCGATGCCACAGAAAATGGCCGACTCCCAGTTTCGGAGTGCATCCAACTCCGCAGCTAAACACTCTACCTCTCCGGTGAGTCAGCCGCCCGTCAGCAACGCTGTATAGCCTTGAGAGAAGACGTATGCTAACTTTGTCCCAGCAGATGCCTAAAAATGGATCTCCTTATTTTACAAACGTCAAAGAGTCATCGCCCTTCGCGATGTCACGAGGAGTGGGTAGCCAGGGAAGGTCCACCAACCACTGGGCAGGGAAATCCCCTTCATCGCTCCTGGAAGAGAGTTTCGGGGGCATCGATATGAACGGAGGTTCTCCATTGAACTCGACTTACAACTTCGGAGTCAACGGTGTTCCCTTCGGTCTGAACTTTGCGCCCTCTCCCCAAAGCAACATCAAGGCCGAATCCCCCCAGCGCCACGTTCTTACGGTACACCCGACATCCCTCAAATCGCGTGTGGAGACGCAGATCCCCATCCGGTTGACGCTATACCCTCTACCAGCGGGTGTGAGAAAAGTACGCCTGCCGAGTCATACCATTTCGAAGCCGAAATTTCTTGCGCCCCCCTCGGCCGAGCGAGCCCCCGATACGGTTGAGCTGCATACGAGCCTCGTGTGCACCAGTGCGATGCAAGACCAGACAAAGTTAAAGAAGGCCTTCGCACGGGCGAGAGGGGACCTCCATCCGACTGAGACTTCGCAAGACGATGACAAACCTTCCGAGGGTGGTGAAGTGAAGATCTGTGCCGGCTGCATACAACGTGAGCGGAAGCGGGCTTTTCGCAAGAAGCAGAGGAAACCAGAGGAGGACGAATTGTTCCAGAAGGATGAAGAGAAGCGGGTGATCGTCTTCAACACGAATGAGATCAAGGAATGGGCTGAGCCGTCGAAAAATGCCGTGCCGGGCTATGGCGATGTGTCCATTCCTAATATTCCCGCTGGGGCAATGCAAGTTGAACTGCCTATGCGGATTGCCTGCTACTGCAGACACCAGAACGAGAAGCTGGGATTTCAGTACGTCTATTTCCTCAGAAACTGAACTTGGTTGGCTAACATCGTTATTTTAGGGTTATCTTTACTGTCAAGGACTACCAGGACAATGTGATCGCGCAGGCCATCACAAACTCGATCATGATCACAGATGACCACAAAACTCACGCCCCGCCGGCACCTCCAGCACCAGGTCCATCTCCTTCATTACCCGATGGGACGCAGTTGCCCGGCGTTGGCGTGTTCCCGTCCGCTGTGAACTCGGACACGAATAAGAGCTCACAGTCGCCGTCCGCCACGGACCTCCAAGGACTCCAGCAAAGATTCAATTCTCAGTATCAAATGACTTCACCGTCTTTCTCTGTGAACCAGAATTCCGCAAACGGCGTTCCATCTTCCAGCTCTCAAACCCCGCGAAGCCTCTCACGACAAGCGTCTCCAAATGACTTCCAGGGCCCCATGAGCAAGAGACGCAAGCATAGCAATTCGGGCAGACTTCCGTCGGAGCTGACAATGACTAAACTTGAAAGCTCTCAATCATCAGGAGGGCTTTCGAATTCCCTCGGCAACGATTCTCCATTTTCTGCCCCTCGGGGATTCGCATCTCCCGTTGAGAGACCGTTCGTGACAGCCAACGCACTGTCGAACCAGTTCACCAATGGACCCCCGACTCCCAATAGCGGAGACAATAACCCATTCTTCAACCCTACGCCCCAAGCGCAGAGTTTGGATACTTTCATCCAGCAGCAGTTGATGTCCGCACCGGGTTCAGCCCAGCCAAGTCGTCCTGGCACACCGGGTGGTTCCAGCCGCAATAACTTTCAAGACCAGAACCTCAATCTCAGCCTCGGGCCCACTCCAACCACCCCAATGTGGCCGCCCCTCACGAATGCAGGAAACCGCCTGCCTTCAGTCATTCACAAGCTTGTCCCTGCCGAGGGGTCTGTTACCGGCGGAACAGAAGTCACTCTCCTGGGAAGCGGTTTTTACCCTGGCATGGAAGTGGTTTTCGGGGACACCCTTGCCACCACTACCACTTTCTGGGGTGATAAGTGTTTGAATTGCTTGACCCCACCCGCGCTTCAACCGGGACTCGTTGCTGTTGTCTTTAAACATGAGCATCCCACGTTTGGGCAGTTGCAACCTGCCCAGCCTCTGATGCCGAAGCAACAGCAATTCTTCCGGTATGTGGATGACCGGGAGTTGCAAATGTACCGTCTTGCTCTTGGTATCCTCGGCCAGAAACTTGGCAGTCAGGCCGATGCTTTCCAAACGGCCCAGCAAATCATGGGCAGTGATCCCAAGTCCATCTTCGGCCTTCAGAAAGATTTCCAGGGCGGCTCCAACGGTGGCCATCAGCGCCAGGTTCCTGGGTTGGAACAGCAAGGTAAAATGAGCGATCTCGACTCGAAGATGTTGACCTACCTCGAGTTTATCGACCTCGACGACAATCCGCGTCCTCCGAAGTATAATTCTCGATCCGCAACGGGTCAGACGCTACTCCACTTTGCCTCGTCTCTGGGATTAACCCGCTTCGTTGCCGGTCTCCTCGCTAGAGGGGCAAACCCTGATGTGCAAGATAATACTGGCAATACTCCGATGCACCTGGCTGCTCTGAATGGCCACGCGCACATCGTTCACAGGCTACGCCTTGCCGGAGCTAATGTGAACGCCCGGAGTATCCGCGGATTTACGCCCGCCGACTTGGCAACAACCTTGCCTGCACACCAGGCCGCCTTGATACCTGCACGCCATTATCGGTCACGCAGTGTTGGCTCTTTGACATCGTCCCGACGCCGACACAGCAGCTCTGCTTCCCTTCATTCACTCTGGGAGTCATCGTCCGGCTCATTTGACAACGCCATTGATGATTCGAGCGAGGATGAGGACGACGAGGATGAACTGGTTTTCACCGTCTCTCGCAGGTCTAGCATTCATCAGGATGCTGCAGCTGCTCTTCCAGCTGCTGAATCATCTGCACCGGGCGATGCACGGGCATTCTCGCCACCAGCTGCTCTTGTTGCTTGGCGTAACCAGCTCCAAGCTCAAATCAACCAGTTCCAGCAAAGCGTCGCTAACGCCTTCCCGAACCTTCCTGCGTTGCCGCCAATGCCAGCTTTGCCCGACTACCAAGCACACCCGATGATGCGTCGCATCACGAACCTAGTTCCTCATCGGCCGACAACGTCATGGTCTGCCAAGGAGGGTTGGTGGGATATGTTGACAGGAAACTCCGCTCCCAACACTACGGAGTTGCCCTCATATGAAGAGCTCTACCCGCGTGGGGAAGGCGGAGATGAGGAAGAGGCAGCACGCATGAAGAAATCAAGCACGTTGCAAGCGGCCACGGATGCCATGTTGGATCAGCATTTCGAGGCCCAGGCTAGCTCCCAAGCTGGCTCGTCTCGGACCGCACCTCCTAAGCAAGAGAAGGAAGACCTCAGGGACATTCGGATTGGTCGTAAAGTGATCTCCCGGGAACAGCAGAAGCATCTTCGGGAGCAGCAGGCCCGGCGGATGAAGGGACTGGCTAGCGACCGGAACCTGTACTTCATCTGGGTAAGTGGTTACTTTTTGGAATTTTTCGTTGTGGGCTCGACTAACTGGTTGACAGATTCCTCTTCTCCTTCTGGTCATCTGTGCGTGGATTCGAAGCTATGCTCCTGGTATCTGGCAAGGATTCTCAAAAGGCTACGAATTCGCCAAGGCCCGTTATGCGCAGCGCGCAATAGCTACAGGGGCTTGAATTGTCCACGCTCTCTTTCTATCCCTATATTCCTTTCCTTTTTCTTTTTCTTTTTTTTTTTTTTTTTCCTCCTTTTTCTTCACCCTTTTGAGTTATTGAGCTGGGGCGTTATCTCCTCTGGGATGGAGGACAATGGGCATGTATCTGATCTCTATCTTTCTTTCCGCATAATGATGGGACACGACTGGATATCTTTCCTTATTTGATTTTCTTCTTGGGCTACTGTACAGGTGATGTCGATTCTTCCGCTGTTGGTTGCTTTCTTTATCGACTGCGTGTTGGGTAGTGCGTAGGTTTTATACCATGGCATGTATATAGACAGATCTAATTTCAAAGGAGCTTTTGGATGACTTCCGATGACCATTCTCTAATAATATGATCCGTAGACAGAACTAGATAAAGCTGCCAAGAATTGAGCCGCAGCGCGGAGAAGGCGGTCTCCGCCCTCCAGAGTGTCCCCTCAAAACAACTCTCCGACAACTCCCCAACGACCCCGCTGCCAATTATTCGCTCCCCGGTCTCTCCTAGCTGGAGATTTCTCTCGTGCGCATCCAACGCGGCATGCTTTTTCGGTTGCGCCTGTTGTCTCCCGCGTAGAGCTCGGGAAACATGGACTCATCCTCCCAGGCGGGCTTGAGCAGTGTCACAGGTAGGCAACGACCACTTCGATCCCATTCTTCCATGGCAATGTATGATTAGCTCACTCTTTGCTTTTTGCCATGATGCAGTCGAGTACACCGATCCTTCGGGACTCTTCCCTCTGGTCCAGCCTGTGATTGCAGAGAAAATCCCCCTGAAGAACCTCCATTGGAAATCCCCCACCCGTCCCGTCCGATCCATCGAGTCCCTCCGCATCGGCTTCGCCCCGGCGCAGCATGAATCAGACGAGCGCAAGTCTTCCAGCGACGGCGCCGGCGGCGCGGTGCCCCATCGCCGACACCAGATCCCCGGGTTGCGCCAAACACCCTACCTGAAAGTGTACATCCTCCGCTGCGACGACAACGACACGTACAGAAGCACGGCGCGGAAGGCATTGCGCGACTGGATCAAATCGCACACATCGTCGTCGACCCCCAGCACCACGACCAGCAGCAGTCAGGAGAAACATGACGCCTTCGAATGGCTGATCCTCCATGTGGTGCAGGACGGGGACGGCACCGAGAAAGTCGCACCGACCTCCAAATGGGGCCGCACCACCACCACGGTCCTCGAGAAAGTCAAGGCCGATTTCAACGGGACGTCCAAGTCGGCCGTCGACCGGGTCGCGCAGATCCGGCTCCCGAAGCAGGGTGCGACGCAGAAACCGCCTGAGTTGGCGGACCAGCTCGAGGACTTTGTCGAGAAGATGAAAAATGCCATCCTAGCGTCGTTTGATCTCCGCGTGGCGCAGTATGAGGATGATATCAAGGAGAAGGACTCGCAGCGGGCATTGCCTGGGTGGAACTTTTGCACCTTCTTCATCCTCAAAGAGGGTCTTGCGAGGGGTTTCGAGAACGTCGGATTGTTTGAAGACGCGTTGCTCGGGTATGACGAACTCGCCGTTGGTTTGGATACAGCTATCCAGGAGCAGCTTGATGGCTCTGGGGAGCAGCATGGAACGACGTTCCTCACGTATAGCAAGGATTGGCAGGAAAAGGCAAAGGCTGCGCTGGGGTCTGAGTCCACGCCGAAGGATGACGATGATGCAGAGCCGGTTCCCATCTCCGAAATTGATACGCAGGATTTCCCGATCGATTCGACCAAGAAGTCCTATCGGGAAATGATCCTAGCGAGCAACATCTCTATCTTTGACTTCCGCACCTACATCTTCTCGCGACAGGTAACTCTTCTTCTGAGAGCCGCCAGGGCTCCTTCGCTTGTCAAAAAGGAGTCAGAGGCGGGCCAGGCAGCTGTAAAGATCCCGAAAAAGCCCGAGGACCTGATGCTATTGTCCGAAATTTGCGAAAGGGCCACCGAGTTCATCAGCTTTGGGGCGCGGACCCTGCGACAAGACTTGGAATCTGGTTTGACTGACGTGGATCATGCTGGCAAGTCGGACGTCATCAACAATCTGGTGTCATCGTGGGCGTACGCTACGGCTTCCCAGATCTTGTCCCAAACAGCGACACCAACCCTCACACTTCCTGGCTCGTCTCTGCACGCCATCAGTAAGTCTGCGGAGGCCGCTGCCGATTCCAAGGCGAACATCCCCCGTCGTTCGAGTTCATTGGTCGGTCCACCTACGACTCGTCCTGCCCGGGCCAACACTCTGCCATTAGACTCCCAGGATGCTTCAAGGCCGGTGCACACCGTTACGCCAAAGACTGGCTCAGAGCAACTGGCGTCAGGGAGAGGAGAGCTGTTGTTCATGGCTAGACGGCTGTTGGAGGAGATTGCCGGACGCTGTGGCTGGAAAGAGAAATGGAACGATCTCGGTCTTCTTTTTGATGACAAAGATGGAGACGATGGAGACATGGCAGAGGTGTCACTCGACGAGGAGACTCCGACACCCCCGACAGTCTCCCAGCCAACACATACTCTCTCGGGTGTCGAGTTGTCTGCTCTAAAGAAAGCGCTGCGTTCGAGAAAGACCTTCCGCGCCCACTACGAGGAAATCACCGACCAGATGTATCGGCATTATATCACGGCCAACCGCACCTACTCGGCGCAGATGGCGTTGGCGGACATGGCGCTCTTGCGGTTTAGACAAAGCGACTACGTTGCAGCGGCCTCGTATTTCCACCAGATTACACCCTTCTACGGCAACAAATTCTGGCTCATGCTGGAGGGCGTGATGTTGGAGATGTACTCGCGGTGTCTCAAGGAGCTCAACCGGACGGAAGAGTATGTCCGAATGCTCCTGCGTCTGCTCGCCAAATTCGCAGTGCACATGCAGGCGGGTTTGTCACCGCGACAGAAAACCCTAGATGCTTCGCACATTTTCTCCGAGAAGCCTGCTGTCGGCGAGTACGTTGACGAACTGTTCAAGGCGTCAGTCTCGCTGCAGAAGGAGGTTTCGGCCCCGTTGACTGATTTCTTCGCGGATGTGGATGTGTCGCCTGTGATCTTGCATCACGAGGACAGCGATGGCTTTCAGATGCAGCTGTCTCTGCGGTTTCTTCTAGGCAAGCGGATCGATATTGACTCGGTCAAGATCCGGCTTGTCAGTGCCGGCAGTGGCCAGAACAGCGAGTACTGGATCGAGGCACCGACCAAGACAACTATCAAATCGTCTTCCACCAAGGTGCTGGTGAACTCTTCGGTAAGTGATTGCTACGATATTCAGCTCGTGACGGTTGGATGCCGGCCGATGTACTGATATGTGGTATAGACGACACTACAAGGAAAATACTTTGTCGACAGGATCGAGGTGCGTGCTGGTACCGTTCTATTCGCCCACGGAAGTGGAAAACACCCTGCTTTGCCTGTCGGATTCAGGGAAGTTGTGGACGCGGATGAAGATACTCGGCCGTACATCTACTGCTACCCACCGCCGCGAGGCCTAAAGGCGAAGATCGTGTCGCCTCATCTGATTAATCTGGAAGCGATGCGCACGCTGGAGCTGGAACTCCACAGCGGATGGAACGACATCCAGTCTGGGTCGATTCGGGTGAGACCCGCGACTGCTGGGCTTCGGCTGAGAGTGGCCGAGATCGAGGTGGTCGAGGGAGAGATCGAAGTCCGACCCAGCGGTGAGTCGGGAGGCATCGAGTTCTCGCGTCTAGAAGCGGATACCTTGGTGCGGTTACGGATTCCATATACGGTGGAGGAGCCTCACCCGACGCTCTCTGCGCGGGCGGAGATCTCCTACGAGACGTCTCGCGGACGGTTTTTCTACTCTTCTACGCACAGCATCGTGTCGGGATTACCGATCAGCGTCAATGTGCAGGATACGTTCAAGGACCAGGTCCTGTTCTCCCGGTTTACGATCAGCCCGGCGATGATGATTCCTCTGCGGATCCTGGCGTGCGACATCCCCAGCTCGGACGTCTACCGGGTGCAGTCCAACATGGGCAAATCGGTCTCGCTGAACGTCTTTCCCAAGCAGCCGGCGTCGCTGCTCTACAAGATCCAACAGCGCGAGGAACACGTGGCGTCGCCGGGATCGCGACGGTCGCTGCGCCTCAGCGTCGATTTCACCTGCATCGACGACGAATGCTTTGACGCCGTCGAGAAGACGTTTGGCGCCAGCATCGCGGCCAGCGAGTTCCAGCCGTATAGCGCCCTCCTGACGGCACATCTCGTCGAGGCGTTCCGGACGGAGCTGACAACCGCCGACATGGAGGTCATCGGGCTTGTCCGCGAGGTGGAAACTCTGCCGTACGCTACGGTGCGGTGGGACCGCTTGTTGGGGGCATTGAAGGCGCCGCTGGACGGACTGAAGACGTGGCTGAAAGAATGGCATCAGGTAAGAGAGGATGATCCCTGCTCACTTTCACGATTCCTTGCATCGTCCCACCCACCTTGTCACCGGCAGCACGACCAAACCAGAAACCCTCCGACGTAGACCGAGAGATTAACTTGCTGCATGACAGGCCCACCCGGTGATCGCGCTCCCGGACGAACCATCCATTCGGCGGCGACACATTGTCATTCCCGTGGACATTCCCGAAGTGCAAGTGGTGCATACGGCGGAGCTGCGACTGCACAACTTGGCCAACCACCCCCCTCACGCAGCGGTCGGACAGATGATCGCGGCGGAGCTGAGACTACGTCATACGCGGCGGTGGTGCTCGCCGGGGCAGCGCGAGCAGGGCGATGGACCCCTCGAATTTTCGTATGAGATGCACGCCAACCCGGAGCTGTGGTTGGTGGGGGGCCGACGGCGGGGGAACTTCACGGCGCCCGAGGGCGAGACGGTCACATTCCCGGTGATGCTGCTGGCGCAGAAGGCGGGGCATCTCCTGCTGCCGGGATTGGAGATACGCACGTTTGTGCCGACCAGAGCTGACGGTGGTGTTGGCGGCGGTGGTGGTGGTGCGGCGGTGGCGCGGCGGCAGATTGCATGCGAGGTGGACTACCGCAACCACAGCGAGACGGTGTTGGTGCTGGCGGATCTGCAAACCACGACGGTGAGTTTGAGTTTGAGTAGTGCGGGAGGGAGTAGTAGTAGCAGCAGTCATGGGGCGGCATGGTTGGTGGATTCGGAGCGACGGGGTATGAGCCTACGGAGTACCTAGTTAGTTACTTACATAGATACCTTACCTGTACTTACCTTCTAGATAGACACAGACAGCCCTGGGAAGATGAATCCCACGCGAGAACCATCGGAACCACAGAGGCCGAAAGAGGCTTAGCGCCCGTGCTGCAGGGCTCAACAAAAAGCATATCGGTCCCAACACTTTCCATGTGATTTTTGAATCTGTGTTGTTTTGTAGGAGGGCAGAGGCTTTTTCAGAGAATGCATTGTCAATACTTACTATAGGGAATGATTATATAAAGAGTAGGGTTATATAGTCCTTCACACCGTCCTTCACGCTAGAGTACCTACAGACCAAGCGCTACCTAGGAGGAACTGAGGACAGTATCTAGAGAACCATACGATATCGACTACTTTAGAATTAGAACCACCAGACAACAGAAAACATATGTAACAACATGTGATCCATACAAGATCCGAATCATCTCCGACAACATATGATACCTCGGAGCATACGTCTTCTTATACTCCTCCTTGATTGTTGAGGAGCCAAGCCGTCTCGTGGGGCTCCGGTGTCAACCTTATTGGTCCGGTGGGGTTCAGTCCCTTTCAAGTACATTCCCATTCAGGAGTAGTCCGTCGCCCATCTCCTATCGAACTAGTATAATTATACTAAGGTAGGACTGCAGATAGATCGCGCTGCAGGTGATCAGCCAGCCAGCCAGCCAGCTAGCCGACCAGCTGCAGTTCGCTTCGCTGAGAAAAAGTAAAAATCAAACAAAACCAAAATACGGAGTAAGAAAAATAAGACAGAAGAAGAAAAACACGAGAAAATACCGCAACCAAAAGAAAAAGAAAAGGAAGAAAAAGACGGGGATCTCCACGGGTCTCCCCGTGGGCCAATCAGTGGCGTTCCCCAACAGAATGGAAGAGTAAATTTCATTCCATTTCGTGCAAAAAGGGAAACCACGATGGCGAGAAGGGGAAACAAGCGAAAGTTTGCAGACTTTATTTTTTTATTTTTTTTATTTTCCCTTTTTTTTTTCGCCTTCCTCCTTTTGGCCGGGCCCTGGTTGGCCCATCGGAGGACACGCCTTACCTCGCTCTCTCCAGCTCTTTTTCTCGCTTCTCTTCCTTCTTCTGCCCCTTCTTCCTCTCCCTCTCCCTCTCTCCGTCTCTCCCTATTTCAATTCCGTCCCTCTTTCTTCCCTCGAGACCGTGTAACCTTTCTCACGCCTTCAGCTGATCCCTTGGTATGTCCTCACCCCATCCACCCATCACCTTCAACACACCCCTCCACTCAATGCTCCCTCACAATTGGAACCATATCACTGACTCCCCCCAGGCTTAGGCATTCTCACACGGGAGGACCGATTTCACTCCTTCACCATGTCGTCCACCGCCGTTCCCAAGCGGGTTGCCCTGCACCGCAGCCCCGGCACCGATTCCTCGGTGCCCAGCTCCGTCTCGGTCTCGCCGCTGGACAGCCCGCGCCAGTCGCCCTCGTCCACCTCCTTGTCCTCCATGGCCTCGGATGCCGAGAACAACGGCAAGATGCTGGACACCTATGGCAATGAATTCAAGATCCCCGACTTCACCATCAAGCAGATCCGGGACGCCATTCCCGCCCACTGCTTCAAGCGTTCCGCCGCCACCAGCTTGTACTATGTCTTCCGCGACATCGCCATTCTGGCCACCGTCTTCTTGGTCTTCCACAACTATGTCACCCCCGAGACCATTCCCTCGTACCCTCTTCGGGTCGCCCTCTGGGGCCTGTACACCGTCGTCCAGGGTCTGGTCGGCACCGGCGTGTGGGTCTTGGCCCATGAGTGCGGTCACCAGGCCTTCTCTCCCTCCAAGGTCCTGAACGATACCGTCGGCTGGATCTGCCACTCCGCCCTCCTGGTGCCCTACTTCTCCTGGAAGATCTCCCACGGCAAGCACCACAAGGCCACCGGTAACATTGCCCGTGACATGGTCTTCGTCCCCAAGACTCGTGACGAGTTTGCGACTCGCGTGGGCAAGGCCGTCCATGAGCTGAACGAGCTCATGGAGGAGACTCCCATTGCCACCGCCACCAACCTCCTTCTCCAGCAGCTCTTCGGATGGCCCATGTACCTGCTGACCAATGTCACCGGCCACAACAACCACGAGCGTCAGCCCGAGGGCCGTGGTAAGGGCAAGCGCAACGGATACTTTGGCGGTGTCAACCACTTCAACCCCTCCAGCCCTCTGTACGAGGCCAAGGATGCCAAGCTGATTCTTCTGAGTGACCTGGGTCTGGCCATCACCCTCAGCGTCCTCTACTTTGTTGGATCCACCTATGGCTGGCTCAACCTGCTGGTGTGGTACGGTATCCCCTACCTCTGGGTGAACCACTGGCTGGGTAAGTCGCAATCGCCTACCTCCCTCCCTGTCAGAATCTGAGACTAACAATAACAATCATATAGTGGCCATCACTTACCTTCAGCACACCGACCCCTCTCTTCCCCACTACAAGCCGGAGGCTTGGAACTTCGCCCGTGGTGCCGCTGCCACCATCGACCGTGACTTTGGCTTCGTCGGACGTCACATCTTCCACGGCATCATCGAGACCCACGTCCTCCACCACTACGTCAGCACCATCCCCTTCTATAACGCGGACGAGGCCAGCGAGGCCATCCAGAAGGTGATGGGCCCGCACTACCGCACCGAAGCCCACACTGGCTGGACCGGTTTCTTCAAGGCGCTCTGGACCAGCGCCCGCGTGTGCCAGTGGGTCGAGCCGAGCGAAGGCACCAAGGGTGAGAACCAGAGCGTGCTGTTCTACCGGAATACGAACGGCATCGGCGTTCCTCCCGTCAAGCTTGCGAAATAGAGCATCATTTGATCATTGTCAATCGCATAGAACGAGCGTGAAATTATTTTGAGATTTTTTGTTTCGGTATAAAGTGTTCCAAAAGAGGATTGTTTCGTGGTGTGCTCTCGCGGGATCGAAACGGCCACGATCTGGAGACGACATCGCCGCAATAGAGCAACAGAGCCTGATCACTGCGATTCGATTTCGATGCAAGGCGTACAGAGGGGTGGGCGTGCCATATTTTCTCTTTATCTGTCGAGCAGACCGACCATATGTTCGTCGTTTAATAATCATCTATCTGTCGGTTAATCTTTGGGCGTCTGGATGGTATGATTTGGTATAGTGGGATCGACCCTCTGCCCTCTGTCGAAAGACTTGGTGTCCCAGGCTTCCCGGCGATGTGTTCCCGGTTGCCACGAGTTATGAGTCAGTTCCATTGATAGACGAAGGAATCATACGTGCTTGGAAGCTTCACATTTGTGTAAATGATGTGTCCTCCGGATGAAGGCGAGTAGAAGATGAAGAGGAGAAAGAGAAGGGAACAAAGGAAAGGAAATCATATGGGGCCCGCTTGTTCCATCCACCTCCGCTTTTCAATCACGTGTGAGGTCCCACCCCCAACCAATTACTACGTCATGTAGTCCAAAGGAACAGACGACCATTCAGCGTATGCTCGGTCGAAATACACCTGGATAGAAGTCGAGTTGGAGTAGACTGCTTCACCTAACTTCCGTCGCAGTATCTATACCACTCAACTCGGAACCCCAGTTGCTCAGGCTCACCAGAACAAAGCAGGCGCAGAAGTCCACGCTTCTCCAGATCCTGACAGACGGCCCTTTTCGAAGAGAAATCTTCTGTCGAGTCACCGGTACTTGGAACCGCTTCGACATTGATTACTTCCCTCGTAGTTCCTTCAGAAAGGAGCGTCTCTGTCTGCGCGGCCAATTCCGCAACCGAGTTGTACTTGGTATGCCAGCACTTCTCGATGATACCGTCAATCAGCGGATCACCATCTAAACTCGGGAACTCCATGTTCTGCAGCAAGTCCACGACCTTCGGCCCATGTTCCTTAGCATCGTCCGCAAGACATCGATCGTCATAAACCTCGAAGCCGTAGTTAATCAGATAGTACAAGGAGCCGCCCAGGGCGAACTGTTCTGTCCGGGGACCTAGCGAGCCGGACGTCCCGCGTTGTCCGTAGTCCGTTTCGCTGCCGTTCAGGAAGCGTCCATACGGGGCTATGCACGCTTCGAAATATGATCCGATCTCCGCGGTGCAGTCAAAGTCGGATAGCTTCAGTTGGTCGCGGTTAAGTAGGATGTTTTCTGGTCGTAGGTCACCGTGAGCGAGATTGAGCGACTCGAGGAAAGTGACGGCTTGGGCAAGGTTGTTCATCCATCTCTTCCGCAGGGAGAGAGGTTCCAGCCTTTCCACTCTAGTGACTATCCTCGTTTTCGGGTCCCGGATGTGATTGTTCTGTATTCTGGATGAAAGACAACCATCTAACGACGCTGTCAGTGTGCGGACCTGTTAACAGTCATAGGGTCGTGCCTCTCATGTACTCCAGGAAGATGCCGTTGTCTGTGGAGAGAAAGCACTGTACTATATAGGGACAGGGCGGGTGCAGCGAGAAAATTTCGTAGATCTTGAGCTCTTTGGCAAATTGCTCTCTCTCGAACTCCCCCGATTTAGGGACCTTGACCACGATACGAGGGTGTACCTCATATACAAATGATATACCTCCTCTCCATATCCAGTGTGCGCAAGGAAATTGTCGTTGGATGTCCATGGAACTGATGCTTTCTCTGCAATGGTAGGGTAAAAGACAGTGTTGTGTGCTCTACACCGCAGAAGGAGAAGAGAGAGATGCAGGGGGTCGTTGGGGTTGCATATGATTGGCTAGTACCTGGTGCTACGTAGGTTTGTCTCAAGCGTAGACCGTATATTCATACTTGATGAAACCATTTGTCTTGCAAGACTTGTCGTGCCGACGGCCTCTCTCGAGGATCTAGCCTCATGACCCTTAGCACGAATCTCTTATCATCGTGGCGCATTTCCTGCGCAGTGGTAAGATGAAATGGCCGCAGAGTCTCAAGCGGACTGCTCTGCATGACCCAAGTGAGAACCGCCAATCTTCGTTCATCCGCAATCACGGTAGAGACCAACACCTTCATTGCGCTCGGGGCTATGCCAAGTACATGATTTAATCACAATGGGAAATGTATGCAGGTAATTATACATGTTCAACCTTCACTCTTCAGTCCTCCCTTCCAGATCGTAAACTCCACTTCCTCGGATGATGCGGCAGCCCAAGGTGCAAACACCAGTTTCATCGTCCTCCGCACCGAGCGGTCGATAGCCTGGGAGGCTGCAGGCGGTGGCTGGGACTGAGGCTGCGAGCTCGCTACTTTGTCCGGGTCCGGTTCGGGCTCTTTCTCTTTCACTTTGTCCGTTACATCCTGTTCTGTTGAAGAAGCCTCGGTGTCTGATGGTTTGCCCTGCGCTCCAGGACCTTCTTCGCCCGTCGGCTTGAATTCTTTGAGCGGTTCAGCAGGAGACAGCCCAGACACAAGGTGCTCTGAAATCAGATGATCTGTCGTCAGGGAAATTTCCTCCTTCTTCAACGCAATCCGACAAGCAATCTGAGTGGACCACACCAGGCCGAGGGCCGGGGTCTTCTGAGATTGATATCGCGGGAAGCCACCAGCATAGGAACTCGGAATTGTCGAATAGGGAGTATCGCCCCATCCGGTGAAGAATCGTTGCTGATGCAGGAGGCTCAGGATCTCGTTGCGAACAGGGTCCGCGACCAGATACGAACCATCGAACTGCTGCTGCTGTTGTGGGTCTTCCTCCGCCACATATGGCGACGATGTAAGGGTCGGAGGAGAAGAGGGAAGGACCCCATTGGACTGGGAGGACTCAATGTTGTTTAGATCCGGCAGCATCGGGCGCGATCGTCGTGCCAGCGGCGATGCCGTCGAGGGTGGTTGTTGGTGTTGCGTTGAGGGCGAGAACGGGCTTGCGCCTGGCAATAGTCGATTAGCTGGTCCACCGACGCCCTCCATGCCCTCAAAACGATCCGACACCTGATTTGCGACGACAATTGCGATGTCCTCCTTCACCGCCAGGTTGCGCAACATCTGACCAAGCTTGGTGAGCTCGCCGGATCGCGTCGACAGGCCCAGGAGATTATGGGACGAGTGTTCGGCGCGGTAATTGGAGGTGATGGAGTCAATGATCACCAGTCCGACGTTGTATCTGGAGACGGCAACTGGGAGCTGGTAGTTCAGGATGTGGTCTTGGGACTCGAGATCCATGGCATTGATGGAGAGGATGTTCTCCAGCGACGGGACGATGTCGGCATCTTGCGACAGCGTCGACAAATAAGGATGAAATTCAAGCATCTGTGTGAGTCGTGACGTGGCGATGGGAGCTTCTGTCGAGATGTAGATAGCTCTTTTGTTGAGGCCCCGAGGCGCGGGTAGCTGAGCAGCCAGTAGTAGGGTGAGGAGGAACTGAGTCTTCCCGCTCGCGCTGCATCCCGCCGTCCCGTCAGTATGGCAATCAGTGAATAGCATGGATGCGATACGGGTCTAGCACACCTTTCGCCGGTCACTTCTGTCAGGTACCCGGTGGGAATCCCACCGTGGAGCAGGGCATCAAGCGCGGGGTCGAGCGTGCTGATGGAGGACCATTGGGAGAGATTGAGTTTGGTAGAAGGACCTAAGAACACCGGAATGTCGACATTGAGACTTGAGCTAGGCTCTCCAGCATCGAGATGGTCCACATTCTCCTCGAATCCCGTATCATGGTGGAGGGCTTTGGTGATCTGGGCGCACAGTCGGCGGACGTCGGCAGGTGGAACGTGAGCGCGTCGGGCGATCTCTAGGGTATCGAGAGTGATGAGATCAACCGTGCTGATGCGGTTTCTCTCCAGCGGAGGGATAATATGCGCATAAGGCTTGGTATGGAAGTCCGGGAGGACAGATGAAAGATCCATAAGCGTGGAGCGTCGAGGAGAGAAGAACTCGAGGCTGTCGTGCGGAGCGCGGGTGATGTAAGCATCTTTCTTCCCAACTAGGCAATGAAGTACTTCTGCTTCATTCGCAATAGTTAGTAAGGCTCTGATGATCAGAGCCAGAATACAACGCTAATAATACATCATCCACCGCAAACACCAACAACTCCAAGTGGGATTACGACCAAGAACGTGATCCTGAGGTCGATGACCCGGTCGTCAACGGCTGTTCGACGGATGACCTCAGCCAAATCCTCATAGATCTCTAGCACTTGGAAGCGCATCCTGATACTTCCTAGCCCTCCCCCGCAGAGACAAGGCTCGCCAGGCGCAAAGCGTTGTTGGCCCATGTTCGCCCAAAGGGATTAACCAGAACTTGATTTTTGTGCCCTTGGCTGTGAGAATATTGAGCCCTTCCACCAATGCAGCCCAGAGATCCTCGTGCTGCTCAAACCCTTCACTCAGAGGAAAGCAATCGTGCAAAAATGAGTAGAGAGTTCTACAGGCGCCGTATGCTACGTAGCGCGAGGAGGTGGCGATGATGATGTTGCTATATACTGGAATTGCCCAAGCGTAATAACGGATGGCTCCGACAACAGCTCGCAGGTCGGCTCTGTCCTGGGAGAATGGATGAGACAATCCATCGACGCCGTTGCGTTCAACCATCCAATTCACCTCCCCACCTGCATTATTCCCACTGTGGTGTATGAAGGCACTATTACAGATTCCAAGCCACATCACATACACTCCGGCAGTATATATCATGACGGAGCATTTCCCGCCGTGTGTAAACGGACCTGGTGGAGGATAACGGAGGCTGCCACTATTGTCGACGAAGACGTGTCGCAACTCATCATCTTCAAGAGGACTTAACAGCTCTGGGCTATCCCGGAGAAAGTAGCGCACGGGATTATCCTCCCAGAATCTCCCGACCCTGGTAAACAAGATGGGACGGTGTTGTTCTATCGCACGCGCCCCACGTAGCTGATTGATGACGCTGAGGATTCGGCTGGCCGCCACATATAAAGTGTACATTGCGTCAGCCATTGTGTGTCGTTGGGAGGGCCCGCGGGGGCTGATACTAGGGCGTTGGGAGTGCTTGTGTTGTTTCTGTTGATGACGGCTTCTTGGATGTTGAGATAGGGTCAGGAACATATGGGTAAACGAATGACTTAGGGGTGAGTGAGCGAAGGAAGAAGGCATGGGTAGGAAGGACAGGATGATCTATGAGGAGAATGGTTTTCTTGAAGGGAAAGAGCTGGTGACTTCCCTCTTCCATTCTAGGTAGACTCGGATGTTCATTCATAATAGCATGGAAGTATACGCTCAAGGCATGTTCTCCTCAGGTGGAGGCGCTACGTAATGCTATAGGACATCAGATTAAATATAACATTGCTGTACTACATACACAAGGCACGTCCTCTCCTTTCTGTTTCACCAGGACCCTTATTCATACCTCTTTTGATTAGCAGAGGACATTTTGAGGCTGTACCATACTGCACAACATACAAATCCAACGGTGCATCCATATAACCAGCCATACCTTTATCCCAAGTAGGTAGAAATATTGTCTGTCACTTCCGTTCATTTCGGATTCGGAATGACAGCGAGCGCTTTACCGCTTATGGCAGGAGACTATCACTCACTAACCGAGCTGACAGGACGCTCGGACATGGAGCGATGGGATAGATCGTGTTCAGAGGGGAAGCCGAGTTTGCTCCTGGACATTCAGGCAATTGACATATCACATTGCGCGATCTGGTCGGAATCCCATCCGGACTGCAGCTAATGCGGTCTACTAACGGTCGACTAAAGCACGAGGCGTGGTCCTGTCAGACGGACGGACTCAATATTGAGGCTGGTTGGGAATACGTGTTCTCGTCTAGCTGCGTTCGGAGCTCTCGCAAAAGTACCATCCGGAGTACGGAGTGGATAGGCCGGGCTTCGGAATTGGGGAGAACCATAGCCTTTTATTACTACTGCAAACAGATGGTGGAAGATTACTGGCTGACGGCGAGTGCAGTCGTCAACGTCGCTCATGTAGTTGGTAACTTGATGTCTAGACACTGTGTATGTAGCTTCTCGGTGGAGACGACCTTTCATCCGCTCCTCCGCGCCCTCAGTGCCATTATCGCCCACATTCTTGGCGTCATCGTGGTCAGGCCTCGCGTCCATATTGCCGAGCTCTCTCGTTGGGTTCTACGATTGTGTGCAGGGCTATCTGGAGAGGACGGACCACACGAGAGCCTTGTCCGACGGCGACTCGTAAATTGATTTGTAAATGGATGCATCTCTTAAATTAGTCGAGCCTTTTAAAAGCCTATTTTGGTCTAGATTAAAAGCCACAAGGTAGCACAATAAGCAGTTAGATGGAAGAAGCCATGGAAGCAAAAGGCGACTGTTGCCTGTCACGGCTAGCTGGTAAAGGAGACTAGAGGCTTGCGGTTGAAGACAGCTGTCTTTGATGTGGGGAAGGATGATCCAACCAGGCCTGTGATATTTATCCCGAAAACAAAGGACAGGTTCATGGAGATTAGCTGAGACTGAATAGCTCTAGCGTGCATGAACTGCTACCCGGGGATTCAGGGGTGGATGGAGGACTTAAACACCAGGCCCCATGGTGGACGGTGTCAGTCCGCTCGATCTGTCTGTTCGGACACGATGCGAAACGGGATGGCGACGACCACCGGTCGGTTCGCATAATGACCCAGCACACCGACGCAGGGGCAAATCGATGGGATGGAGACACGACGGCAAAGACGACGAGCCTCCGTGATTGGCCTCTGGGCTGGCTGGCATTCACGCTAAGGGAGACGGACTGGGATGGCCTTCCTGCAGAAAGTCAAGGCGCTACTGCAGTCCCGTCCAGCCAGATCGGAGGAAGCCCTCGAGCGGATGTGACGGTCCGATGCCGTTGTTTCAGGGTGGAGGGCACCGCAGTGAAGAGGGAGGGGGAGTTAATATATTGTACGGAGTACTGCCGGGGTAAACACCGAGCGACCGATGACCGGAAGCGGTTGTTGTTCATAATTGTTATACCCCCGGTCGCTTCACCACTGATGACATTGATGACATGATGACAGATGACCCGGGACGAAGATCCCATGCGGGAAGATCCGACGATATGGTTATTGGAGAACGAAGCTGGCTAACCGTTCCTTCTGATGCATTGCGCGAATTCAGGCAAGGTACGAGTCGAGGGGTGTCTCTGGAATGCTCGAGTGTTGCAGGTTAGACTAAATTCCAGTCCAAGAATGAAGACTCCGTAGGACAGAGGCAGATATCCCGAGTCCCTTTGGTGACTCTTAAGAGGCTCCTGGAGGGACGTGATTGTAGGCACGTCAGGATATTGACGTTGGTTCATGTCATCAGCGATGTATTGAACGGGTCACATCTTCGGAGGATTTCTTCTTTCCGGCATGATCCGACAAAGGGGATGGGATGTAATAAAAGAGGGGACTGACCCCACGAGGCGTGTCCAGCTTCGAAAGATAGGATAGGATAGATACCTTGGTAGTACTGTATCTACCTCAGGTACTATGATCGATCGTGCATGCTGAATGAACGAACCACGGATATGTGGCTGTCAAGCGAAGGCCGACAAAGGGAGAAGTCCTCCCTGAATCATGATAATAATATTGATAATAATGATGGGGCCGCTCATTCGGTGCGGACCGTCGGGGTGGAGACCGTGAGGACATGGACACCAGTAATGGGTCTCTTGCTTCCTGAGCGGGTATGGTCAACTTCGGAGATGACAGGGGAGCCCTGGACAATTGATCCAGCCGAGCTGCAGATCGCGGATTCAGAGGGGGGTTGGCTCCTGTCTATCTCGGTAAAGATCGTCCTGACGATGGTCCTATCATGTAGTGGTGGTGGACGCTGACAGCGCTTGGGCCATCACCACAGCCTTTTGGACGTGTTGATTCTGCCTTTCCCAACCAGGTCCCTGGGCCAAGGGATGATCCGCTGGATTGGGTAGGCCAAATCCCGGGCCCCCCGATGCATGTCTCCCCGGTCGACGGTATGTCAGGTTGGATCGGGAGAGGAATGAGAAGACATTCCAGAAGAGATAACAGACTCCCATCTCCAATCATCCGCAGAGAACAGAGGTGCTCTCGAGGAAGCCGAATCGAGTCAAATCCCGATCCTCCTAAATATAGCGAGGGATCAGGCTGATCCAAGGACGAATGAACGCCCGGGATTTGGTTTTCTGCTTTCCGGCTGCTGCAGGCCCGCTAGGCCCCGATAGGCTAGATCTAAACGCTAATGGGCCCAATCAGATCAGCCGGGGGAGCCACCGATACCTGGGAATTGAGGTGTCCAGATGTCTACCACAAGCGAGATCTAGGAAAATTGGCGAGGAATGAGAACCATTGTTCTGTCAAAAGAAAGTTCGGTCCGGAATAAAAGTAGTATACCACGGAGTTGGAAATGGGCGAGACGATGGGGCCGTGGATTAGGTAGTTAGCCGCTGTGCTGTGATGAGGATGGACCCAATATCCACCCCTCCGGCTCAATCGTGCAGCCGCTGGGACGCCATCCACACACAAGTACGGTTTGCCCACTGCATTCAGCAGAGTGCGTAGAAATTTATTAATCGCGGTCCTCATAGCATGATAGTACTTACTCTGTAATATGACTGATACTGATATCAGTGTGATCTCTACAGAATTTCTTATTTCTATTCCTATACTAAACTCCTTTCTAATCATTCGCTTGGATTGAGCCCAGCCGAAAAAGAAAAGCAAATCACAAAATAACCCGACAAGCTGTTCCGTACGACAGGAACCAGTAATTTTGCGTCCCAAGACCCCCAGCGTAGGGACCGGCCGCCAAACTAAAGTGTATAGCGTCCCTTCACCACGGCTGACCTACCGGGACGTCCCCTCTCTGTCATCCCCTCTCGCTCTCCCTCTCTCTCTCTCTCTTCCCCATCCGCCCATCCACTCCCCTTCAACCTCGTCTTCCCTTCTCCATCCCCCCCATCTCTCCCTCTATCTTCGGGACATTCCTTCCTCCTCCCCTCCACCCCCGAACGAGTCAATCGTTGGGCTTTCTGTTGTCGAACCCTCCGCACAACAGACCCAGCCTTTGTTCTTTGTTCTCGCTCTCGCTTCCCCCCTTCCTTTGCCTCGTCTTTGGTCACCGAATAACCCGACCTTCAACTCCCTGTCCATCGCCGCTCACCCCTGAGACCTGGTGTCTGGGAACAAGAGATCACTGCACCGACTCGTTCGTTCGAATCGAGCAGGAAGAGTGAAAACGATCCAACCCGTCCTCTCCGATCGGCATTCGACAAATTGCTTCATGACACGGAATCTGCCTTGAATTTGTAAGCTCAATCTTTCCGGTGCCGTTTGTCCCACGAGCTCTCAAACCTCGTCGCGATCACGGACCAATGCGACCATCCAACTCCCCATACTGATACTGCCATCAGTTCAAACCCACAGACCCGGAACAAACCCTCATTCAAAATGGCGACCCGACCTCCTCTGGCTCCGCCCATCAACGAGACGGAACACTCCGTCAGTCGCATCACTCGCGAGGGCAAGAAGATCACCTACAAATTGAGTGTGATGCAACAACCGGAACGTGCCAGAGCCTGTGGTGCTGGTGCAAAATGTATGCGTTCCCTTCCTTCTTCCAACCGTGCAACTCGACTAATTCCTGTCCTCAAAGCCTCTGCCGATCGTCGTCCGGTTGATCCCCCTCCGGTCGTGGAGCTGCGCATCTTCGAGTCCGATCCCAACGACGACGTTCACAAGACCGACATCACCTTTGCTTATAATGCCAATTTCTTCCTGTTCGCAACGCTGGATACGGCACGTCCCATGGCGCAGGGCAGACTCGCCCCGACCCCAACCTGTCCCGTTCTGACTGGTGTGCCCGTGGCCGGAGTTGCATACCTCGATCGTCCAACCCAAGCCGGTTACTTCATCTTTCCCGATCTTTCGGTCCGCCACGAGGGCGTGTATCGGCTCAACTTCCACCTGTATGAGGAAACCAAGGACACCAAGGATCTCAACGAAGGCGCTCCGCTCCCGACCGCCGTCAACCCCGGAAAGCCCGCCGCGCCCAAATCGTTCCTGGATTTCCGCCTCGAAGTCGTCTCGGTCCCGTTCACCGTATTCAGCGCCAAGAAGTTCCCTGGTTTGACCACCAGCACCTCCCTGAGCCGGATCATTGCCGAGCAAGGTTGTCGAGTTCGGATTCGTCGTGATGTTCGTATGAGACGCCGTGGTGAGAAGCGGTCCGATGATTATGAGTTCGACGAGGAGCGCGCCTATCGTTCCTCTCCACGCTACTCGACCCCCGATGCGTACGCCGCCGCGAATCCCGTTGAACGTCCTCGGTCGACCAGTATCAGCGCTGCCGATCCGTCGTATCCATATGGCTCGGACGTCCAGCGTCGGCCCTCTGCCAGCGAGTATGGCTATCAGGGCGCTCAACCCTACCCGCGCCCGATGCCACCAGGACCGGTATCTTCTTCTTCGACGCCGGTGCCTCCTCCCGCTCCGCCGTCTCATGGCTCCTCGTACCCATCGCATTTGGCGTTTGGTTCGACGCAGGCTCAGTACCCGGCTCCCCAACTGCCCCGGACTCCCCAGCCGGCTTCCGCTCCTCATCCGTCGTATGCCCACTCCAGACATCCTTCGACGAGCAACGAGTACGAATCCGGTTCATCTGGCTACTCTTATCCGTCTCGCCTGCCCACGGAGCGTCCTGGTTATCACAAGACATCCTTGCCGCCTCTCCGGTTGGAGCCTCCTAATCCTCTGAACATGCCCTCTGCGGGTGACCAGCCACGTTCATCTGACCCCAACGCGTACCAATCCATGGCCCATCCTGCGGCCGCACGTTCGCAAACGCCGTCCAACCCAATGCCGTCGTTGCCACCGCTTAAGGTTGTATCTGGCGAGTATCCGGGTAGGGCAGCTCAGCCGATGGGCATCACTCCCAGCCCTGCCGCGGAGTTGGGCTCGGGTAAGAAGCTGCTCTGGGAGACGGGTGGTCCCTCGTTGTCCAAGCGGTCTTACGAAGACTCCTTTGGTCATGATGAACGCCCGCTCCACAACGGAATGCGTCCGGACAACGAGAGCTATCCCAACACCTCCCGCCGACCATCCGAAGAAAGTGGACCGTCATACACGACACCGTCCTATATCAGTGAATTCCGTGACCAGATGGTGTACAAGAGAGCCAACGGCCGGATGGCTAACAAGATCTCTCCTGCACTCAAGTAATTGCACCGAACGCGAAGAAGACATGCTGTACGTCCTTTCTAGTTTCATCGATTGGTGGCGGCGTCTAGGCGGAGTCGCCGACTGAGGTCGGGCAGACTTGTGTTGGCTTATAATGCCCTCTGGCTGGAGAGGGCTTGAAGAATTCTTATGAACCAGACTTACGTTTATACCTTTCTCCTTTGACCTTGACTGTTTTCTTCTTCATACTTTGTTTTATATTGTTGTGGGTGTTTCTTTTCTTTGTTCCTTTCCACATATTCCCCGATTGCTGCGGTTCTACTTCATTGGGATGGAGTTTCCTTGTTTTGCCATGGAGAATCCGACTGGATGTCCTTTGGATGTGTTGATTGACTTTCTGAGCGGTCTGTTCCCGTTGGAACTGATAGATGTCTTGACAGCAACGTCACCAAAAGCACGGTGAAGTGTTTGACGAAGGCCTAGCGGCAAAGTCCCCAATCCACTCATTCCCATTTCCTTTGCATGTTGTTGTTCTACTCACTGTCATCGGACTTGACTTGTTTCTTTGGGCTGGTGTGATGCTAGACAGAGGCCACTACCACTCATACATCGGAATCTCAGGCTGAATCTGAATCGATCGCATTCCCTCCCTGTAGTGATAGACTCGAGAAGTGAGACACAACGCGTCATACCGAGACACTGCATGAACCGTTGGCCCTCCCGGTAGCCACTCAAATAGGACTAGTGCGGAGCGAGTTTAGGCGCATAGCTGGGGATTACCCGATCGGGTAAAGAAGCAACAATGTAAACAAGCGCCCAAACAATCCTTCTCCGCTTCTTTTCTTCCCCTCCCCACTCCTCCTCCTCCGTCGGCCTTCCCCTTCGACCCTTATTTCTCCCATTGATTCCCTCTCCCGTGCGGTGTCTATGTCGGCTTCAAAAATCCCGTAATACCCCCATTTGTCTGTCTACCGAGACACATAACCTATCCCAGTGCCGAGGTGCGTTTGCCGCATTCGCCTTACGTCGATTCCCTCCTTGTCTCCCTTGCTCCAGTCGCCACTTGTCGCCCTCCTTACTCACGCACCGTCATAGATCATGTTGGCGCAAGGCACCGTGGATATCCTCATCGACGCGAACGATCCACACGGCCAGTTACACCAGGGTCTCCAGTCGGCCTGCGAGCCGTCCCGCAAACACTCGCGCACCAGCAGCTACGATACCGTCGACTCCGACTGGTCGTCCGATGTCTCCGGTCGCTTCGACGATGCCGACGAATCTGACTACTCGCCGCAGTTGACGGGATCGACCTCGCCCTCGGACTCCCACTCCGCAAAGCGGCGGCGATCGAATGACTGGCCGAATCCGCCACAGGATCAGTCCCAGTCGCAGCCTCAGCAGCACCACGTCCACCACAATCTTTGGCCGTTCCACCACCATGGAAAGACGTCTGCGTCCGGGTCCCCGCGCGCGTCTCCCGCCACGGGGAAACGCCCAGCTGGCTGCAGCGCTTCCAGCAAGAACCGCGGGCGTCGGTCACGGTTTGTGGAGGAGAGCATGAATGATAGTGTCAGTGAAAAACCACCCAGTATTTTCCTGCGCGAGGACCCTCGCACGTCGGCTTCGGCCTCATCCGCCAGCGGGAAGGGGAGCAGCGCCGGCCAACGAAGCTCGGGGATTTTCCGCTTCGGCAAGGCCATTGCGTCGGCGTTCAATCCGTTTGGTGTCTGGGGCAACGTCGCGGATATTTGGAAGAATAACCCGCATGAGGAGAACAAGTCGGCGACGGCGAATGATGCGCTGGCACGGGCTGAGAAGGCGTATGCCGAGTTGAAGAAGGCGGGTTACAAGGGCACTGCGAAGGGGAATTATCTACATCAGCAGCAGAGTCAGGAGCAGGCCAATGCCTCGGAGCAGACATGCAAGGAGGACAAGCCTGCGCGGCGGCATTCGAGACAAAACTCTGGAGAGGGACAGAGCTCTCTTCGGAACTCGTTCCAGGATCTGCGGAGGGCAAAGTCGTCGCTGGGGATTTCGTCTATCCCGCTGCTGTCTAACGCTAATCGACGCTCCGAGGAATCAGATGCCGTGGGGGTGCGCCGGCAGAAGTCTCGTCGCGAGCTGCAGAGACAGGCCAAGCTTCTGAAACGAGTTAGTAACCTAGAGGACAAGCTCGAACGCGCTCGCCGCGAGCTGCAAGAGCTTATGGGCGAGGATGCCGAGACTCAAGTTCAATCTCAAGCTCAGGACCAAGACCAGGCTCAGGTTCAACCCCAGCCTGAACCTGCGGAAACGACAGATCCGGCGACAACCACGCTCTGCCAGGACGAGAAAGCATACCATCGCAAGTTCGTGCCCGGTGCACTTCCCTCGCTTCCGTCGGAGAGACTCCTGCAGGGAGAGTCCACGCCGCTGGGGTTGCTGTCGGAGAATGTGCAGCGCACGCCTGCCAAGGACAAGGGCAAGCCGCGACGCGCGAGTGGTAACAGGCCCGTTGCACCCAAGTCCCCAAAGCAGCTGACGGAGGATCAGATCCCCGGCCTGGCTATCGACAATCCGTCTCTCAAACGAAAGTCGCCCGAGCCTGGCTGCGCGGCAGCTGCGGATGCGACTGAGACGCAAACAGCTGAGAGCACCAACGACAAGTCCGTCAACGCGGAGTTCAACGGCCCCTCTCCCAAGTCAAAACTACCAAAAAATGCCCGGGGAGATAGTCCGCGGTCCGTGGAGCAGAAGCAATCCAGAGAACAGGCGCAGTCTTCGGGGGAGAAGAAACGCGAGAGAAGGCGGACCCCTCCGCCGGCAGGCAAGCGCACGCCTTCATCCCGGAAGTCAGCGAACTCTAGGAATGTGACACCCTGTCTGCGCATGAAAAAGAGCCGCAGCGACCTGCGCGCGGGAACCGGCGTGGATAGCGAAAATGATGACCCAGGCAAGGAGAACCAGGAGGTCGAACTCACTCCTCGCAGACGGCCTTTGCAGGAGCAGCCCAAGACCAGCCCTAGCCCCTCGCCGAGCAAGCGCAAGCACAGCTACAGTTACATCCCGCCGGTGCCTCCATTGCCCAAGGAGCTCATGGCCGCCGCGGCCAAACTCGACCGACAGCGGGAGACGCGTGGGAAGACCACATCTGGAGAACAGTACAAGTGGCCGGAAGACATTTTTTGACGTGATGTGCCTAATATACCCGATTTCGGCGTTTCCTTTGTCTAGTTACGAATAACGAGTGACGACCTTGCCATCCAACCACCACTGTATTGCCTATATACAACTACAGAATAGCCGTAGCATTCGGATGCGAGCCCACGCCGCCTACACACATCAGCCCAACCCAGGCAGACCCGAGAAGGAGAAAGAGAACACATACCAGGAACATTAGCCGGCGCACTGGTCAAAAAGAACGTCCAGCGGCCCAACTCGCGACAGCGCGTCGCCAACCGCTCCAAATCCCACATCTCGCCGAGCGGCATCCCCCACAACGCCAGGAAATCCTGATGCATAAGCCCGCGCCCGTCCACAGCGGGCCAACACTCAAACGTCGGCGAGTCGCCCGCCACCGCCGCAAAGTAGCAATCATGCAGCCAGTCGAGCATAGCGTCCTCCTGCTTGACGCCGGCCCAGCGCTGATCGGGGCCGTCGCGCGTGGCCGCGGCGCGCCAGGCCTCGTCGCTCAGCGTGGTGTAGTTCTCGACGAAGCCCGAGCGCACGAGCAGAATGTCGCCGGGACGCATGTGGCCGCCCTGCGCGGCGGGGCGGATGTCGAGCCCCTGCGCGGCGGCGCAGGCGCGCAGGTCCGCCAGGCTGATGGCGTGCGACGTGTTGGGGTCGTAGGTGATGCCGTGGCTGCGCGCATAGTGCCAGTAGTCGAGGAGCACGGCGCGGCCGGCGATGCCGTGCGCGGCCCAGTGGTGGATGCCGTTGCGGTGGTTGGCGTTCGGGCCTTCGATGTCGGATTCTTTCACCTACCCCCCGCCCGTTCCTGGTCAGTATAGCTGATGGAGGAGCGCTATTAGAAGGCGGGGTGGGCGCACCCCGTTATAGAAGGTCTTGGTGGCGATGTGCGCCACATGCCGCAGCCCGTCCCACTGCGTGCTGCTCTGCGTGTTCATCACGTAGCAGTCGTCGTACGCCACGCCCTTGGTCAGCGGCTTGATGGTGTGCTGGAAGGTCTCGCGGCCGAACGACGGCACGGCGGGCACGTTAACAGGGAGACTGGTCGGGTCGTCAACGCGAGACTCTGAGAGTGTGAGAGTGCACTCACTCCAGTCGGATCATCTCGCCTGTCTGGATCTCCGCGGCGGCGGCTTTTACCCGCTTCGGGGTGAGCAGATTGACTCGGCCCAGCTAGCTCGATTTAGCATATCTATACATGCATGATGGACAGATAGTCAAGGCATACCGAGTCGTCCTTCCCCCACACCCAGGCGGCGCCGTCCGGTGCACCGGGGATCTTGGGCAGGTCCTTGCGGGAGGGAAAGTGATCGCAGTTGGGATCCCAGGGGATCTGGTCGGGTTGTTGGACAGACATTGTTGGAGACAGGGTGCTGGCAAGTCTACTGAGTCGTTCTGAGGCGACCATGTTGGCGTCGTGGGAGATGGCGAGCTTTATAGTTCCAAGTTGTCACGGATTGCCGAGCCGATGGGGATTCCTCCACTTATGGAGACAATCAAGTGGATAGACACCTTATAACCATTGGCGACAGGACGACCCTGGAGCAGACGGTGGAGAGCACTGAGGAGAAAGCGGAGAGGAAGCCAATGAGGCCATCGTCGGTCTCGTGTCTCCGCAGACGCTTTCTCCAGCCGAGGAACTCCGGCTATCCATGAAGAGAACTAATATGGCTACGGGATAGCACGAAACAGTGTAGACCAATTGGCCTTTTGTTTTTCATTTATTGTGGTGCATCTCCAGATGGTAGAGACACACCTGCTCCAGTCTTGCGTGTCCAGCAAGCATCTCCAGAGACAAGACAATATACTCAGCAATGTGCCAAAACAATCCTCCACGATTATGGTCCAGGTATGAGCAGAATGCAATGGAGGTCACAACCAGCCCATGCAATGATCAAACGCCAGAGTCGAGTAGAAAGAGGAAGACCATCCCATCGCGCAATCCCAAATCAAGCATCCGGCCAAATATGCAGCATGCCAGGCATGGCTGGCAGGAAGATACCTCAAGACGCCGGAATCTCAAACGCAATCACAAATCGTATGGGACAATGTGTCCTCATAGTAGGATAATAAATGAACAGGAAAAACTAAACGTTCATCGCTAAACGCATCATGTAATCATCGAGATGGATCAAAAGTCCGTCAGTTAATTCGGAGTCGGCACGCCGGTGGACTGGGAAGCGCCGCGACCACGCATGCCGCCACGACCCCGGCCACTGTAGCCGCGACTGTAGCCTCCACGGCCACGACCATAGCCGCGACCACGTCCGCGGCCGCGGTACCCACGGTAGCCGTCCACACTTCCCTGGCCGAAGGTTTCGATATTCCGCTTCTCTTCCTCGCCACGCCACTCACGGCCGTGCACGCGAGCACCGGTGCCTTCTTCCCGATCGCGAGCCTCGCTCGAGATGTTGTCAAAGAACGACGCGGCCTTGTTGTACGAAGTGACCGACTGCGACTCCGGGTGGGGCTCCGGGGCTTCCAGATCCCCGTCCGGGACGACCGGGGCCTCCTCATGCGCAGGAGATCCAGTGGCAATCGCCTCCTTCACCAAGTCTTGCTTGTTGAACTTGGCATTGGCCGTTTCGAAATCATAGTCCGTGTCGGGCACCTCAATCTTCTTCGACCCCTGGTAATGGCCACGGTTTCCGCCGCGTCCACGAGGCTGGCCACCCCGCGGGTTGCGGTTCTCGTACGGCTTCATATCGGCCATCTGCTTCGTAACGCCCTCCACCGATGCATCGCCCGGCTTCTTCTGCGCGCCAGGCTGAGGCAACTTCGCCATCGCTGCAGCAACTGCGGCAGTAGCGGCGCGAGTGGCCTCGGTGATGGCAGCCTGAGGAGTGCCGGCGGGAATATTAGGCACCGGCGGCTTCGCGGGAGCCGAGATGGGAATCGCCGGCTGCACACGTCCGCTCTTAGGTCCGGTGGGAGGCACCTTGGCAGCGCCCTGGGTCGGACCAGTAGCGGCCTGCAGGGCTTCGGTTACGGGAGGCTTAGATTCCACTGGGGGAGTAGGAGCTTTTTGGGCAGCCGGTGCAGGAGTAGCATCGCGACTGGCGGGTTTACTAGTTGGACGGTCACCAACGGGAAGTTCCGACGTTCCCTTGGGCACATTCACCGGACCAGGTCCCGGACGCTGTTGTCCAGGAGAAGGTTGCTGACCAGGGGGCCCAATGGGCATCTGGGGAGGGAATTGACCGGGACCCTGAGGAAAACCTTGACCGGGAGGAGGAAACCATCCTGGTGGTGGTGGAGCACCATACGGCATGTTGGGGAATCCAGGTCCAGGGGGGAAAGGCGGACCGCCAAAGCGTCCATAGGGAGGATAGAATCCTTGCTGAAATTGCGGCTGTGGAGGATAGCCCGGCGGAGCCTGGCGAGGAGCCTGTGGTTGTTGTGGTTGAGGGTGAGGAGGAAGGCCTTGGCTATTGGGTCCTGGGCGGGACATGCTCTGTTTGGACGGCATGTTAGCAAGACATTCTCTCGACAAGACGATAGAAAAGTCACAATGCAAGAGTCCACGATCAATCAGAAGGAAGGCAACGGAAATATCCACATGGTTTTTGCGCATTCAGAACAGGTCTGTGAGTTTACATCCGAATATATTTCATCATGTGACCTTGCCCGACCGGAGTCGGGGGACTTGATTCTCGAAGAATCCACGGAAATTGAGACAAAACATTGACTTACCCCTAAGATTGCTGGGTCATCAGGTACCTGAGGAGGCTCCGGCGGTGCCGTGTCCTTCTCCTCAGCTACACTGATGTCCTTTACATCACTACCACGGAAGACGATGTACTCGTAGACACTGGCCGAAGGAGGGATCTCCTCGGCAGGGTTTCCTCGACGGCCTTCCGTGCCGAACGAGGCGACATTCTCGAGAGCTATCGTTGAAGCTTCGGGGTTGATTTCATGCAATGTACCCACATAGCTGAAACCGAGTTAGTTACTTGATCCCGACCGCCAGAACGATCACCAGCAAGGTCAGAAGGGTGAACCTACCGAATGTCACTCTTAGAGATCAGGTTGAACCGCTGACTGCCAGGTGTTAACTCCAGCCTAGCCGCACGAACCCTGGTTCAAGACTGACCCTATTAAATGGTTCATATCCATGATGAGGGGAGAAGCGCGTCAATCGCGCGGAGAAAGGGAAAAGAGGGGAACAATGGGAGTGAGAGAGAGAAAAGGGAGAGATGGAGAGGAGAGAGGTAGAGAGAGGAGGGGGTCAAGATGGAATGGTGGTTGATGGGAGGAAGAGGGAGAAGAGGTGATGGGGGAGAGAGAGAGGGGAGGACAGATGGAAGATGAAGAAGGGGGAAGAAGAGAAGAAGAAAAGAGGCGATTGGTTTTTGTGGAAAAGCTGACGGGATACGGCAGGCGACAGGAGCTTCTTGCGCAGCTTTTTTCGTTTAGCTTCTCCAACTCCACTCGTGTCCATTCTGCCTCCGTCGGTTCTTGGGATGAGCATTCGTATTACATGATTGATTCCACCGCTCGACTCTCTCAGCATGTCGCGTTCCTCCCATCAGAACGATTTCTTCCAAACCACGTTCGTCATGACAAGCAACTCTCGGCCTCGGACTTCTCGCTGATCCTTCCCCCGCATCCTCCAGGGCGGCCCTAGACGAACAGAAGCGAAAGGAGACAAAGTCGCAGAACACCAATGGAGATCCTATCCGGCTCCAAAGTAAAATCCTAGCTGTCCAGGCGGATCCAACCACCCCTGGAGCGGTCTTCGTGGCGCAGAGTGCGGGAACCGTGCGGAAGGTCATACTCGAAGTAGGTGCATGGTGTCCATTCTAGTCTATCGCGGGATGCCGTTGCTGGGATCTGTAGCTAAGTCATGCGTCCATGTGGTCTGTAGACAGGAGAAACGGCCGCCGTGTACAAAGGGCCGACAGCCCCCGTCACCAGCATCTGCTTCAGTCCCGACGGCCGCACCTTGTTCGCAGGGTGCTGGGACAAGCTCGTCTGGAGCTGGGATATTGCGTCGCGTGAAGCTAAGCTCAAGTATGAGGGCCACACCGATTTTGTAAGATCAGTCGTCGCGACAAGGCTCCAGGGGAAAGACGTCCTGGTCTCCGGAGGCGCCGATGCACAGATCCTGGTCTTTGATATCGCCAGTGGTCGACGGCTCTCTGTCATGAAAGGTCACGTCAAAGGCATCCAGGATCTTGTCATTGATCCGGTGTCTTTGGATACAGACAGCCAGGAACTGGTTGTAGTCAGCGCAGGCAGCGACCGAGAAATCCGTCGCTTCGATATCTCCAGCGGCAGTAAAGACCTGACCGGAACGGATGCAATCCTCGCTCACGATACCAACGTATATAAGCTGTTCTTCGACCAAGATGGTGATCTGTGGACCGCATCCGCCGACCGGACTACCAAGTGTCTGGTGAGAGAGGAGGGCTGGAAACCAAACATGACCTTGACTCATCCGGATTACGTCCGGGATGTTGTTGTCTACGAGCAGGGTGGCTGGGTGATTACTGCCTGCAGAGATGAGGAGGTTCGTGTTTGGAATCGATCGGTATGTGCTTTCTTGATCAATAGTGCACGGCATGTACTAACCTTGTGGCAGACGGGAGCACTCTACCACACATTCTCCGGTCACTATGAAGAAGTCACGGGGCTCGTTCTCCAGGGAGCCGCAGTGGTCAGCGTTAGTATTGATGGAACCATCCGACGGTGGTCCCTCCATCCCGAAGACCTACGCGTTGCTATTGAACGGGCCAAGAAGACTGCCACAGACACTGAGGAGGAACAGACGAATGCTGGACCCATGTTAACGGAGGAGGAGGAGCGAGAACTGGCGGAATTATTGGAAGAGGATTGATCATACCGAAGGATAACCGAGTTAGGAGTGATATATGCTCACTGTGATGCAAAGTGATACCAAATGACACGTTAATAAGTGAGGTCGTGTCCAACAATATGTTCATCTTGACACGAAGCGTGATATTGCCGATCCCACAAGGGACGTTCTGCGGAGTATTAAAACCATAGCTTCCACGCAGGGCATCTCAAGTGTACAAAATGCCTCTATGCCGAAAAATCATGCCTCCTTTTGTGTCTAGGCATCCCTTGCAGGAATGGTTATCCGAGTACCAAGCACACAGTGTTGGCCGGCCGAGCGCAATGGCGGACGCTACTTTGGGGCTAAATAAAATGGCTAAATGTCGCCTCTCCCCAACCGCGCCCACCTCGTGTCCTCCTACACTCCTATCTACATCACTGCCGCCAGTCAATGCCGCAACCTACTATGCTAGATCTCTATCGGCTGGTTGCGCTGGGCGCAGTGGTGGCTCTGGGATATGCTCTGAGTCGCAGGCAGCACCGCGATCCCCGCGAGCCGCCTGTGGTGGGTAGCGGTATCCCGATCGTCGGCCACCTGCTGGGGCTGCTGTGGTATGGCGTGGGATACTTTAGCCTCATGACGTGAGTGCTTGTGTGTGTCTGTATAATGTCAGAAACTAACTTTGTCAGCGAAAAATACACATATCCGATTTTCTCGTTGGATATGGTGTTCGGTAAAGCTTATCTGGTGACATCGCCCGCCCTGCTCCAGGCCATCCAGCGCAACAAGGCTCTCACCTTCGACCCGTTCCTCACGATGTCGGCGCAGCGCATCGCGGGGATTCGCGGGCTAGGGCTCGAGTTGATGCGTGAGAAGCAGTCGGGAGGCCAGGGACTCAACCAGAAGGTGGTCCATGCGATGCACCCGACACTGACAGGTCGGCCGCTGGATCGCATGAATGAGCGCATGACACAGCTGCTGAGTCCACTTGTTGATGAACTTGCCACACGCAAGACGGTTGACCTCTACTCCTGGTGCTCCCATGTGATAACGTTGGCCAGCACGGAGGCGTCGTACGGGCCTTTAAACCCATACAAAAGTCGAGAGATCGAGGATGCATTCTGGTAGACCCCCGTTATTAATGCATAGAGTCCCGTTCTAATTTCTCCAGGGCCTTTGAGTCAAATCTCAGTCCATTAACGGCGAACTTCCTGCCGTGGCTCACCGCGCGCAAGGCGTGGAAAGGGCGCGAGACTGCTGTCAAGGCAGTTATAAAGTACTATGAACTCGGAGGCCATGAGGAAGGGTCTGAGATGACGTATGTCCGTTATAAAACATTGCGCGAAGGGGGAATGTCGGTCGAGGATACTGCGCGCTCCGAAGTGACCATGGCCATTGGCCTGCTCTCTAACACGGTTCCCGCTAGTTTCTGGGTCCTCTTCGAGCTCTATTCGCGACCTGAACTGCTTGAGGAGGTTCGCCAGGAAGTCGCCCACAACGCGCTTCGTGTAACCGCTGATAAGAAGCATGTTATTGATATTTCGGCCCTTGCGCGATCACTGTCCGCTCCTGGTCTCTGTTTTCCAAGAGGTCCTGCGCACAGGAAGCACAACTTCGCCGACACGCTTTGTACTGAATGATCTCGTCCTCGCTGATAAATACCTTCTCCGAAGCGGAAGTGTGATTAGCATGCCTGGGGCTTCCATGGGTCGGAATCCTGATGCATGGGGAAGCACAGCAGGGGACTTCGAACCTAGGCGGTTCATTAAGACAGACAAAACCCCCCGTCGCACGGGTGGATTCATGACCTTTGGAGTGTCGCCCGTTCTCTGTCCGGGTCGCCATTTCGCCAGCTCGGAGATCTTGGGAATGGCCGCTATGATGGTCCTGCAATACGATCTGACACCTGTTGATGGAGCATGGACACCTCCCCCGGTCAACCCTATGGCAATCACGTCTATTACACGACCGATCAAGGGTGGGTTCGATGTGCGAGTGTCTCCCCGGAAGGAGTATGAGGGTGTGAGATGGGACTGCGAAGCGCAAGAGGGTAATGGGATGTTTAACTTGATGGTTGGTTAGGGCTGATGTCCTTGAGTGACGTTGGCCCGATGATCTATTTATATTTTTGAATATCCCTGTCTTAATGCATCCATGTATATATTGATGAATCTCGGTTCTTCTCTTCTTATGATTTCCGCCTGGCCATTGTATATACCGAGTGCTCGAGATATATATTACCTTGTTTAATGTGACTCCCACCACGCCCCCGATAGAAGAGGAGTAGTGACGTACCGACCCAATAAACGAAGATAACATCTCATCATACACACAGACACTCTAGATTTCTTGTGGGTGCGATCCTATTCTCCCCAGCCAGAAAGGTGTAGAATAGATTATTCAGCATCTACACGTGACCCCCTGATGCATGGATGACGCATGGTGGGCGATGATCTCCCGGATGCGGGCCATTCATTCAACGTATTCCTCCACGATCTCTCCCCTCCTTCTTCCATAGCGGTGGGAACTGTTGTATCCCTGATCTGCCCTGGAAATACTTACACCTATATCTCCCCCTTTTATTCTTCCTAACGAATCCCCGTATTGGCTCGGCTGCAACCGTGGCCATTATTTCTTGGTTATTCTCCCGTATTCTAGCCCCGCAGTCTCCCTCCGGCCGCCGGCTAGTCTCACCATCGTGCTGGAGCAAGCCATACACTAACCACCTCCCGCCAACTGTCGCGTGGTGCTCCCCACGATCTCCCAGAATGGCGACCGCTTCTTCAAATGTCCATACCCACCAACACGAGGGCACCTCGGATCTTGGGCCCAAGCTCGTCAACCGGTTGCGTGAGAGCAGATCGCCATATGTTCGTCGCTGGGCCCTCCCTACATATCTATGGCAGCAAATTGAGCAAGCTGACCGCAGAATAGGTCCGGGCTCACATGAACAACCCGGTAGCATGGCAGCTATGGGACGCAGAGGCCATCAACTTGGCCCGACGGTATAACCGATTGGTGTTTCTCAGCATAGGTTACTCCGCGTGCCATTGGTGTCACGTCATGGAAAAGGAATCCTTCATGTCGCAAGAAGTCGCATCGATCCTCAACGAATCATTCATCCCCATCAAGGTTGACCGAGAAGAACGCCCCGACATTGACGACGTCTACATGAATTATGTCCAGGCCACCACTGGATCGGGCGGTTGGCCGCTGAATGTCTTCCTGACCCCCGACTTGGAACCCGTTTTTGGCGGCACGTATTGGCCTGGCCCCAACGCCACCACAAACCCCGGCCACGAGACAATTGGGTTTGTTGACATCCTTGAAAAGCTACGAGACGTCTGGCAGACTCAGCAACAACGGTGCCGCGAGAGTGCGAAGGACATCACAAAACAACTGAGGGAGTTTGCAGAGGAGGGGACGCACTCGTACCAAGGCGACCGAGCAGCTGACGAAGACTTGGATATCGAGCTCTTGGAAGAGGCGTACCAGCATTTTGTTTCGCGATACGACACCGCCCACGGGGGCTTCTCCAAGGCCCCCAAATTCCCCACGCCTGCTAACTTGAGCTTTCTTCTCCGCCTCGGCGTCTACCCTAGTGCTGTGGTGGATGTTGTGGGAAAGGAAGAGTGTGAGAACGCAACCGCTATGGCGGTGAACACGCTCATCAATATGGCCCGGGGAGGAATCCATGACCACATCGGCCATGGCTTCGCGCGGTACAGCGTGACCGCGGACTGGGGCCTGCCTCATTTTGAAAAGATGCTCTATGATCAAGCCCAACTGCTCGACGTCTATATTGATGCATTCAAGATTACACACAACCCTGAGCTGCTGGGTGCGGTATATGACCTGGTCACCTACTTGACAACCGCTCCTCTCCAATCATCGACCGGTGCTTTCCATTCTTCCGAAGATGCCGACAGCCTACCCATGCCGAACGACACAGAGAAGCGCGAAGGCGCATTCTATGTTTGGACCTTGAAGGAGTTGACTCAAGTGCTCGGAAGCCGCGATGCTGGAGTATGTGCCCGTCATTGGGGAGTTCTTCCGGATGGCAATATCTCCCCTGCAAACGATCCCCACGACGAATTTATGAACCAGAATGTCCTCTCCATCAAAGTGACACCAAGTAAACTAGCTCGGGAGTTCGGGTTGGGCGAAGACGAGGTGGTGAGAATTCTGCGGTCGGCCAAACAAAAGTTACGCGAGTATCGGGAAAAGAACCGTGTGCGGCCCGACTTGGATGACAAGATTATCGTGGCCTGGAACGGTCTGGCCATTGGCGCGCTGGCCAAAGCCAGTGCTCTGTTCGATCAGATCGATAGCTCCATGGCGTCGAAGTGCCGTGAAGCCGCCGCGAGAGCGGTCAGCTTCATCAAAGAGACACTGTTCGAGAAATCTACGGGCCAGCTGTGGCGTATCTACCGGGACGGCAGCAGAGGTGATACTCCCGGATTTGCTGATGACTACGCATATTTGACGAGCGGGTTGCTTGAGATGTATGAGGCCACCTTTGACGACAGCTACCTGCAGTTTGCCGAGCAGTTGCAGAGTACGTATATCCTTGCGATTTAGCTGGGCAGAACTGACAATGGGACAGAGTACTTGAACGAGAAGTTCCTCGCATACGTGGGGTCGACTCCTGCGGGTTATTATAGTACGCCTTCTACGATGACTCCGGGCATGCCGGGTCCTCTTTTGCGACTCAAGACCGGAACGGAGTCGGCCACGCCCTCCATCAACGGGGTGATTGCGCGCAATCTGTTGCGGTTGGCCAACCTCCTTGAAGACGAGACGTATCGCACCCTCTGTCGTCAGACGTGTCACTCCTTCGCTGTCGAGGTCCTGCAGCACCCGTTCCTCTTTGTCGGTCTTCTGGACGCAATCGCCGGCTTGGAGGCGGGTACGCGTACCATCACGGGGGTCCTTTGCACTTCGGCTATTACACATAGCACTCCGGAGTCAGCCAGCGAAGGTGGCAAAGTGGACGAACCGGAGTGTGCGCGAAATTTGATCATCCAAAAGATCCGAGCAGAGGCGAAGTCGGCGACCCCCACTTCGACGGTCACGACGGCGCTCGTGGACATCCGATCCTCCCATGTGGGTGACTTTGTCGGCAATTCGTCATTCTGGCTTCGGAGGCGGAATCCGCTGTTGAAGGATCTCAAGCCGTCGGAACCGGCGAAGAACTATCTCCTGATCTGTGAGGCCGGTAGTTGCAAGATGGTGGACATATAGCCATGTACAGATTGAACCTTTTCGTTCATGTGGGCGGTGTTTTGTTGGTCGGCGCGTTTGTGATGGGATGGTGCATCTGACCAGGTGTCTGGCTTTGCTACTTAGGTTGGACTAGACAAATTGGCTGGAGAATCGGAATGCCTTAATTGTCTTGATGTAACTACGGAGTCGGTGCTTATGAGATGTTGATGGGCCCAGTGGTGCCTGAGGCGTCTTCTGGTAGGGTTTCACCATCACATGAAGAAGACGAAGCAGACAAGACAGGACAACAGTGAACGGAGTACGCCGACGAGGGAGCGAATTGTTTCTGACCCGTCAGAATGAGAGGTAGATAGTTCTGGAAGGAAGACAGGCTCCATGCATCTCCATGGAAATGGGTGAAACTGTCATGTCAAGGGATGGGAGGCCGATCGATCCCGATCCCCATGCACACCCCTGTCGGAAATGATTCTAAGACGGTCCTTTGATTAAGTACCGGTTGGCGCCCAGCGGATCGGAGAATTAGTTAACTAATGGATAGATGGGAGCGGGGTGCTGACAGGGAGGATTTCCCCAGTGTCTGGTCACTTCCAGAGTACATACAATACAGAATCTGCTGCGCGATGACTTCACGGCTTGTTTTGATTGTCAGTGGTGTTTTGGGTGTTTTGTTTCAGGTGTGTCCGGATGGTTTGATCCAGCGGTGGGAGTACCGAGGATCGGTCGGCTTTGGGTCGACCATGTACTTGTACAGAGTATGCTATAGTTAGTTAGTATGTAGGTACGTAGTGAGCTGTGGGGATTCGGATCGAGACTCGAAAGATCACATAGAATTGTTTTGTCTTGTCATTATCATTATTATCGGTCAAGACATACGGTGTACTCTTTCAGAGACAGATGATGTTTCCATGGGTCTGGACTGGTTGTCAAGAGAAGATCGGATCTGGAACTGGGCGGAGGACAGGGACAAATCCTTTGGCGAGAATCGCTCTGCTCCAGTGGATGGACAGAGAACTGCGGAAATGGGTCCAGTTCTGAATCACAGAGGGGGAGAAAAAGAAAAAAGATGAAACATTAGCGGGCGCCAACGGACTCGCAACAGTCCTGCCGAGTTGCCAAGTTTTGGTGGTTAATCATGGACAATCCCCCCCTGGATGTGGCCCGTTCTCCCCTCTGCGGTGGCAACCCGCCCACTAAGACGCTAGTGTCGCAGCCGGATTTTCTCAGCACCCTGGCCGACCGGATGATTGGGCGTGGAAGAGGGCCGCGTGAAAGAGATTGATTATTGGAGGATGTGGTGGAAATTGTTGTCTTGTGTTGTTTGATTGATGATGCGAGATGAAGTACTAAGTCCTTAGTAGTTCTTTTGTTCTTTCATTTGGCTCCTTCAGTCTCTGTATTGATTATATTGATTATACATATGATGTTATGCGGCGTATGAGTCAATTCTTTACTCTTTCTTTTTGCTTCGTCTGCTTTATGCCTTCTCGCGTCATCACACACGTCGACAAAGCGATGCAATGGATCGGAAACGTGGGCCGTCCGCCACCACGTTGTCGCTGCGACAACACCCAGGCAACCGTGGTACGCCTGTTTGGATATGGCTGGCTGATAGAGTCCTCCGTATGAGGATATAATGATGATATAATGAACTTATAATAAAAAGTAATAATCAGAAGAATAGGAATATAACATGAATAGCTACCTAACTAACTAGTACTCCGTCCTGGAATTGTGATGACCGTTCACCTCGACAGATGGAGTCCGATCGACGGGGGTTTTGGTCCAATGGCGGCTGGTGCCTGAAACGGGTGGACCGGAAGAGGTTAGGCGGATCCAGCGTGTTATTTACCTCCTCCGCTATACTTCCCGACTGCTCTCCATCCTTCACCAACCGTCGAGGACCACTTGCGCCCTCAATTCCTCCCAGGGGCAGAATGGATCTTCCTCCCGGTCCAGAACCTCCAATCCAACACCCTCTCCCATGGCTGGAGGATGCCTGGAGAGGGCGCCTCCACGCTCTGGAATGTAGCACCACCCACTTTCCTGCCGTTGTTCGTCTCTGACTAGTGGCCGCTTCTCCCGTGGACTATGCTGGATGATCTCCGGCATGTCCCTACCAATGGATCATGGATGTTCAGGGGGGCACAAAAAGTCCCCAGTTCCATGGTTCTCTCTCTCTTGCGCTCGTCCCTGGAGAATGTTTGGGTTGAAAAGGACCGTCTACCTGTTGTCTTTGAGCTGTGGTCGTATATGATGCCGAGTTGCCGCCCCATCTGAACTGTCTCGCTCGTGAATTGATTACCTGCTTGGTCGACTCCGGCTGGCTGAACCCCCGGCTCACAACAGTAATTTACGTTTAATTATTGTCCAGATCGCACGGCCCCACTAACTGGGGGGAAGACACGCCTGCTCGTTCCCCTTTCTGTGATTTAAACTATATTATCACTTCCACTCCCGCATCTCTCACCCTTCATTCTGTCTCTGTCTCTCTCTCTCTCCTTCACCCTCTCTCTCTCTCTCACACATCCCGCCTGAGGCGCATCTTTTTTGTCACTCCCTTCAAAAAAAGTGCTTCTCTTCAGGCTGTCACTCCTTTTGTTGATCCTCCTCCCTTCTTTCGACAAGAACTCTCGTACATATCGTTCTGTCCCCTCGGTCGGACAACTTCCCGGCGAAGTCATTTCTGTCGCGATCGAACGCAGTTGACCTGTGACTCCACACTCCCTCAAAATCTAGCATCATGCGGTCTTCCATTCTGTTGGGTGTTCTCGGCGCGGCCGGTGCCCTGGGGTCCCCCCTTGACAAGCGCGCCTATGTCACCGACTGGACCGTCGTCACTGTGACCACCACCATCACCGGTGCTCCCCCGGCCCAGACCTATGCTCCCGTCCAGGCCGTTCAGATCTCCCAGTCCGTTCCCAGCAGCTCGTCCCAGGAGCCTGTCGTCGCCCCGACGACCTCGGTCCCGGCCGCGGTCCCTGAGACTACCCAGGCACCTGCGCCGCCCGCCACCACCGCTCCGGCTGCGACGTCCACGAAGGGTGGCATCATCGAAATCGATCGAGTCTCTGTTCTCCCGCTCCTCGTCGACCTCCACCAGCTCCAGCGCCCCTGCGGCCACTCCCACCGACTACCAGTCTGCCATTCTGTACAACCACAACGTCCACCGCAGCAACCACTCCGCCAGCTCCCTCGCCTGGTCTGCCGACCTTGAGTCCAGCGCGCACACCCTCGCCTCCCGCTGCGTCTACCAGCACGACACGTAAGGATCCTGCTGTATGCTCCGTGGCCTCTGAAACACTAACATTCTGTAGGAGCATTGCTGGCGGTGGCTATGGTCAGAACATCGGATACGGTGTGTCTGCGGACGAGATCGGCGTCATGATTACCAACCTCATGTACAACAACGAGATGGGCTACTACAGCGACCTCTATGGCGAGGCCACCCCCGACATGACCAACTTCGACCTGTGGGGTCACTTCAGTCAGATCGTGTGGAAGGGCACCACCCACGTCGGTTGCGCCACGGTGACCTGCCCCAGCCTCGGCAACGTCGACTCGAGTTCCGCAGTGCCCTTTACTGTCTGCAACTACAGCCCTGCTGGTAAGTCTCAATGTGCTGAATGATGACGATTCCGGCTTGCTAACCACTCATGCGTAGGTAACTACGACGGGGAGTATTCCAGCAATGTCCTCGCCCCGCTGGGACATGCTATGTATGTTGCCTAAGTGTCTCGACCGGATTCACCTCGCCGGCGGTAGGAGATGGTCCGACATGTTCCACGACCGTGGACTGGTTCCCAGACAGCCATTGGCCATGTGAAGAGGGTTGTTGTGGTGGGCTTGGATGTCAATGTCGCGTCGTTCATTTTGGCCATGGAGGTGATGTGATGATGCCTTGAGCAAATCCCGTGGGATATGTGGGACGATGTTTTGCTATCAAGCCGGTGCAAGCGGTGACACTGATCGAAATCGAGAGACTTTGTCTGACACTTGTCAATTCTTTTGCACCTTTTATCTTGTTGGACTTTTTGATATTATTGTGGTTGGACGGAGATGCATTGTGTTGTTGGTCCTGTGTTGCGTGTGCCAAGCCCCTTGCATGGACGGTTCGGCAGGCAAGCAGATCTGCAGCCCGGGGTGTTCTCCACTGCCGTTTCTCACTACAACGGCGGGCAGCAACACAATGCGATCTCTGGTTTTACTTCTCTGTGGATATTCTTCTCTCTTCTTCTTGTCCCATTCCTTGCACCATGTCTTGGTACACCAATGACAGCAACGAATCATTGGATTCTTTGTCTTGTTTTTGCTTTGGTTCTTTTGGTTCTGCATTTGGTTGATCAAGTCTGATATGGGCGTCATGCATAGAGTCTGGTCTGGGATGGTCGGGAATGAAATGGATGAACATCAGCGAAATGACAAGACATTTCACGAACACACGGACCAACCTTGCCCAGTGCATGCGTACAGAGTAGATCAGACTTACACCACTTGCCTTAGGATCATGGTAATTGTACAGTACGGAGTAGTAGTACTCTACAATAGACTGGGGAACTCGAATGATGGATATAGTAGGCGGTCAACCCAGCTGGCCCGATGCAGACCTATGCAACACGGCCCCACGTTGACTACCACTACGTACCACCAACCGACACCACCATCCATGGTCTTCACCAGCTCCCCTTCGTCCGAAGCGTCACTGGCTTGAACGCCGATGCTGGCCCTCGGTGGTTCTCTTGACTAAGCTTTTCTCCCCATCTGATTTGCCCCTACCGTAGTAGTCGATTGTCATTCCCACGACGTCAACCTGCCAAACGATCCTCGCCATATCTGCCTACCTTATGCTATTACAAAGTATTTAGCCGCCCAACTACAGCGCTTTCGAGATCTCCGATATCTGGAACGTCAAGCGCATTGTTTCGCGACGGACAATACCTTATTTTCGTCTTATCTGATCTTATTTCTCCTCCCGGGGTTGCCGCTCGACAAGCTCTGGGATTATCTTCCCCGCATCCGTCCAGTTGTTGGCGAAAGAACCTGTTCAGAACGCTGATTCAAAGACACCGCACCGATCTTATTGTACTGGGATTTCAGACAGACCTGCAGACTTCTGCTGCAAGCACACCTCCCCCAAGAATATAATATCTGCAGCCCCTGCAGTCCTCATCGCCTGAGACGACCCCATCTCTTGGCGATTCCGTTCGACAAGCTTCCATCCGTTCCCCCGATACCTAGGTACCCCTCGATCCTACCTAAGAGCCTACGGAGTATAGTCCCGGACCGCCAACGCCAGTGGGAGAGATCCACTGCAGCTAGCACCAGCTACTGTAAGCGTCCCTTCCTCCGTTCCTCAGCGCTATGATTCTTCCCTTTGTCCCGAGCCCCCCGTCTCATACTCCACCCCGGGCTGTCGTCCAGCTTCCCGACAGCGCGGGGCGGCATCATATCTTTGCCCTGTCATAGACTTCTTATATGAATCCTCTTCTCCCGATCCTTCCTTCGCCTTTCTACCTTGTCTGGCTTTTGCTTTTTCCCATCTTCACACTACCTTATCTCATCATCACCTGTCCTCCAACGTCCCGTGAGTGGATTGGTCATGCGATAGTCCTCCATGCCCTCATACTGCTTGCAAGATTGTCACTACTTCTACCGCACCGCCCTTCGTCTCCTGTCCATCCCGACCTTTCTTGCCTGTCGCTTCGCTTAGAATACCTCGATCGTCTCACCCATACGGCTGGCTAACACCATGTCCTATTCATCCATGGCAGTCCGTCATTTTACGGCGCCCAAGCCACTGGGGACCACCATGTCGTCGCCTCGATCCCAGCCGTCCATGGAGACAAAGATCCAACCGACCTCCAAGGAGGGCACATATCAACCGACAGTCTCCCCCGACACGGCTCCCAAGAAACCCGGATCGACCTTTTCGAACCAGGACACCCTGCCAAAGCTTCCTATCCCGGACCTTGCAAGTACATGCAAGAAATATCTGGAGGCTTTGTCCGCCTTGCAGACCCCGAGGGAGCAGGAAGAAACCAGGGCCGCCGTGCAGGACTTTCTGAAATCCGACGGTCCCATTCTCCAAGAGAAGCTGAAGAACTATGCCTCGTCAAAGACCAGCTACATTGAGCAGTTCTGTACGTTCCTCACAAGGAGATCTTTCCTACTTATCTGTGCACGCGACTGACAGGGCGCCAGGGTATGATTCGTATCTAAACTATGATAGCCGTAAGATATCTGCACCGCCCGAGAATAGTACCCCCATATACTGACCATCTGGTTAGCGGTCGTCCTCAACCTCAACCCGTTCTTCTTGCTGGAGGATGACCCGACCCCCGCAAGAAACCACCAAGTGACAAGAGCTGCCTCGCTGGTCGTCTCGGCTCTGTCCTTCGTGCGTGCTGTTCGACGTGAGGAGCTCCCTCCAGATACCGTTCGCGGCACCCCGCTGTGCATGTACCAATACTCCCGACTGTTCGGCACTGCCCGTGTCCCCACTGAAAACGGATGTGTGATCAGTCAGGATCCTCACGCAAAGCACATTGTCGTCCTGTGCCGAGGCCAGTTCTACTGGTTTGATGTGCTGGACGAGAACAATGACTTGATCATGACTGAGAAGGATATTGCCGTGAACCTTCAAGTGATCGTCAACGATGCAGAGCAGACTCCTATCCAGGATGCTGCCAAGGGGTGCCCTCGGTGTTCTCAGCACCGAGAACCGCAAAGTATGGTCGGGACTGCGCGATATCCTGACCAAGGACGAGGGATCCAACAACGCCGAATGCTTGAACATCGTCGATACGGCTCTATTCGTTCTCTGCCTCGATTATACCCGAGCCCCGCAACACGTCTCAGCTTTGCGCCCAATATGCTTTGCGGTACCAGCGAGGTGGTCAAGGGAGTCCAAGTCGGCACATGTACCAATCGGTGGTACGACAAGTTGCAGATTATCGTATGCCAGAACGGAAGTGCCGGGATCAATTTCGAACACACCGGCGTGGACGGACACACGGTGCTGCGGTTTGCCAGCGACGTCTATACAGACACCATTCTTCGCTTTGCCAGAACCATCAACGGCCAAGGTCCCAGTCTGTGGGCGAGCACCAGCCCCGATCCCTCGAAACGGGACCCCCGCAGTTTCGGTAACGTGAGTACGACTCCCAGGAAGCTCGAGTGGGATATGGTGCCGGAAGTGAGCATCGCGTTGCGGTTTGCCGAGTCCCATCTTTCCGACCTTCTGCAGCAACACGAGTTCCATACCTTGGAGTTTTCAGGATATGGAAAGAACTTCATCACTTCCATGGGATTCTCGCCCGACGCATTCGTGCAGATGGCTTTCCAGGCGGCCTACTACGGCTTATATGGACGGATTGAAAATACCTACGAGCCAGCCATGACCAAATTCTTCCTGCACGGCCGGACCGAGGCCGTCCGTACCGTCACCAATGAATGCGTTAATTTCGTGAAGACGTTCTGGGGCGAGGTTCCACCACAGGACAAAGTGAACGCCCTGCGGAAGGCCACCGAGAAGCACACGGCTATCACCAAGGAGTGTTCGAAGGGCCAGGGCCAGGACCGCCATCTCTACGCATTGTACTGCCTGTGGCAGCGGTCCTTCGACGAGGGCGATGTCTCTGCGGGTAACAGCGTGGAAGGCAGCTCCAACGGGTACTCCAGTCCCACCGAGGGCTCCGGGGTGGCGTCGCCCAAGTTTTCCGCTTCCTTGTCGGAAGATGGACTGTCCACCAGCAGCTACGGTCTGCGCGCGGTGCGGCCGGCGCCTCCGACGCCGGCGTTGTTCAGCGACCCCGGCTGGGACAAGATCAACAACACGGTGTTGTCGACCTCCAACTGCGGAAACCCCTGTCTGCGGCACTTTGGGTTCGGCCCAACCTCGGCGGATGGGTTTGGCATCGGGTATATCATCAAGGACGAGTCGATCTCGATTTGCGCCTCGTCCAAACACCGACAGACCGCGCGATTGATGCAAACGCTGGAATCCTACCTGTTTGAAATCCGGAAGCTGCTCCGGGCGACCAGCGGCAAGACCACGAGCCCGCGGACCAGTCGGGCGCGGGAGATGGAAATGATGACCGAGCGGTTCCAGGGGGAGCACCGTCGGGGCCGGATCGTCCGGGGCGATGGTCAGATCGCTCGGGGTGCCGAGACGCCCACGACGGACAGTGGGGAATTGGAGGATGACGGCATGGGCGGATGTAAGTTTATTGCGCGATCCGGGTGGTCTCCTTACGTGTAGTGACGGGTGCTAATGCATGATATAGATGGGTTCTTCGATGCCGGAATGCTGCTCCATGCGCTGAAGGGGTTGAATGCAGAGCGGGAGCGGGGCGGTGACAAGCCCGAGCGACGACGGTTCGTCGGGAAGAAGTTGCGACTGAACGAATACTGATGGTTTGAATGATTGGTTGAATTGTGTATATGCGGTGGGATCTACGATGCATGGATTTGTATATGACTAGCAATTGAGATTTGGATATTGCAGAGTTGCATGGGTTCTATAGAATGTAGAATGATAGAGAGGGTAGCTTATATAGATTGATGACCTGGTCCATTGGGGTATGTTCTAGCTCTAACACCATCGTAAGATCGGTGCATAGGATCATACCACCATCCCATCTCCTTGGACGAGTCTCGGTATCACCGGAAATGACACATCTGAACGGTACGAATGCATTTTCGTCTAACTGCAGGAAATGCATGCATGGCTCGCGTGGACGAGAGCGCGAGCACCCCAGATGCGAGTCTATGCAGTGGTGACTTGTCAGTATATGCATACCACCAATAAGTAGTTACTAGAGGCTGAACAAAGATATGAATAATAATCCATCGCATAACACTCCAGAGTTACACCAGTCATCAACGATGAGATCATTGTACTCAATCCTGCGGACATCCCGCCGTCCGCGTAGTTTGAGGTCCTTCTGACTCAGCACCGCCGTAACGGGCGTCGGTCAGGTGCCTACCACGTGACCAGCCCGTTCTCTCCCTTTCGCCGCGCAGCTGGCCGGAGCTTCAGCTGCCGTGGCCTCGAGTCTTTCAGTATTTCCGATTCTTCTCTGGATGGCAGGAATTGATCGTCGATTCCGCATTACTGAACTCTCGGTAAGTGCACATCTTCTCTTCTCTTCCACACTACGTACTTCTCTGCTCTGTTCCGACACCGGAAGGCGTGCTGGGATCTGCTCAAGACCGGCAAAATTACCGCCGTCTGGCCCATTTTTCGGGGGTATCTGATCGATGCCTTACGCCCGTCTCAGGCGCCAATCACCATTCGCATCCATCCACCGTCACATACCGTTCGCTCCCTTTCTGTTTTTTTCCCTTGCAACCTCTTTCACGGTGATCTGCTGGTCTCCTTCCCCTTCGCTCAATCAGGCCATTCGTGCTCTGGCCTGGTTCCACTCAGCGACCCGCCGCTGCGTTTCCACCTATTGGCCTGGTCCCCCTGCCTGCATCGGTCTCCCTTAGTGTCCCCATCCTCCCATCCTCCCTCTGCTCCTCTGGCGAACGAGCGTCTCCGTTGCTGAGCATCTGCTGCTGGGTGGTCCTGCAACACGGCAAATCGTCTGTCTTTGAAAAGACTGGAGGAGGGGCGTCGTGCTGGTTGCTTGCTTGCTTGCTGTCGGGGCGACTATCAGTCTCATGAGCATCATCTCCATTCACCATCACTACCACAATCGTCACTATCGTTCCTCCTCTATCGGCTTGTTCTCTATCTCCTGCCTATCATCGCGCTCCCTTCCGGGATCCCGTGCCTCGTTGCTTGAATCCGTCGTGCTTTCGCGCCCGTTGCAATCCCTTCCTCCAACCAATTCCTGTGCTACACTCCCAAGCTCGGATTCGCTAGCATCGAACCACACGCCGTCGATACCCACACCCCTTTTGCTTCTTGCAACACTTACATACTGGCCATTTTTACCGTTTTCCTTTACACCCTATCATCTTCCCCGGCCGACACAAACAGCTATCTTCGAACATCCGCTCTAATCACCGCCTCATAGACCTCGTCAACCTCACCCTCCGTCTATACGCGCCCTTCCCCGACCGCTGGGAATCCCTCGTTCGCCGTCGATCAGCGGTCGCTTCTTCCGACGACGGCGCCTACATCCTGATTCGATCTGTCTTCATTCCGTTCTTCCCGTCGTGTTTGAGATGATGGCGGCAGCGCTTGATCAACCCATGCTTGAATCTGTCTCGGGCCCGCCGGCGCCTGATGGAGCTTCCATCACTCCGCCGCAGAGCGCCAACGGCAAGAAAGAGGTCCCCGATGGGGTTCCCTCGGAGCTGTCGGATCTGGAGCTGGATCCCAATGCTGCGACCGCTCCGGAGGTCCCTTCGGTAGAGATGGAGGAGGAGAAGGAAATCGAGCCGGACCATTATTATGGCGGTGGTAAGATTCCGGTGTTCAAGCCGGTGAGTGATGCCTTGCGAGGTGACAGCCGGGTTCCTGACCGCTGACCTGGATGCGATCATAGACCATGGATCAGTTTCGGGACTTCCAGTATTTCATCAACAAGGTCGAAAAGTACGGCATGAAGTCCGGAATCATCAAAGTGATTCCTCCAAAGGAGTGGTGAGTTCTTCTAGTCACCCAGTACACGGGTCGCATGCTGATCACATCGAACTCGGCGCAGGTCCGATTCCCTCCCGCCCCTCGATGAAGCGTACAAGAAGAGTTTGGTGAGAACGCAATCAGGCAGGGAGTTCCACGGATCACACGGAACCCTATACCCAGGCGAACTCGAGAGGACAACGATCCTACAACCTCCCCGCAGTGAAAGCGCTCTGTGAGGAAAAGCAGTCACCAGCCCCCGGCCCGACGAGGCGAGCGACGTCGTAACCAGGAGAGAGTCACTCGCACCCCCGCCGCTCCGCGTCCTCAGAACACTCGCTCTGACTCCCAGAAACGTGGACCCGGACGCCCTCCCAAGCGATCCAACCAGGTGAAGGTGAAGGAGGAGCCACCCGCCGAAGAGAGTCTGGACAAGGTCAAACTGGAAGGACCGCCCACTCCCGTGTCGCCCGAATCGAACCCCGTGGAGGCCAAGACCGAAGAGCTCAGCGACGGCGAGTCGCTTCCCGCTCCGAAGCCGAAGGGTCGGCAGCCCAAGTCTGTGTCGGCGCGCCGGAAGAATAACAAGGGCGACATGGCCGACACCATCGATGAGGAGGCCTTCAAGGACTTTGACTATCGGATCCATGACCACGAAGAATATACACAGGAACGATGCGAGGAGCTCGAAACGGCCTATTGGAAGTCTTTGATGTTCAACAACCCTATGTACGGTGCCGATATGCCAGGCTCGCTTTTTGATGACAACACCACCTCGTGGAACGTGGCCAAACTGCCCAATCTACTGGACGTCTTGGGACAGAAAGTCCCGGGCGTGAACACAGCCTATCTGTATTTGGGCATGTGGAAGGCCACCTTTGCCTGGCACTTGGAAGACGTGGATCTTTACAGCATCAACTATATCCATTTCGGTGCGCCGAAACAGTGGTACAGTATCTCGCAGGAAGATGCCCCACGCTTTGAACAGGCCATGAAGAGCATCTGGACCAGCGATGCCAAGAACTGCGATCAGTTCCTGCGTCACAAGACCTACCTGGTCTCTCCGAGCCTCCTCAAGTCTCAATACGGCATCACCGTCAACAGGCTGGTGCACTACGAGGGCGAGTTTGTCATCACATACCCTTATGGATACCACTCCGGGTACAACATTGGGTACAATTGTGCCGAGTCGGTCAATTTTGCGACTGAGAAGTGGCTAGAGTATGGCCGCGTGGCGAAGAAATGTCACTGCGAGGCGGATAGCGTTTGGATCGACGTCGATGAGATTGAACGCAAGCTGCGAGGAGAATCGACGCCCGAGTACTACGGCGAATATGAGAGCGACCTCGACGAAATGGAGGGCGCCTCGGACCTTCTGACGCCGCCGCGCAGCGTTCCCGAAAAGTCCACCCGTGGCCGCAAACGAAAACATGACGGCGACACGACCAGGGCCAAGCGCATGCGGGTCATGGACGTTCCGCGCAAGATCCCCTGCGTCCTGTGTCCCAACAACCTCGATTACGAGGATCTTCTCCCCACTGAGGATGGAAAGCATCATGCCCATCGCCGATGCGCCTTGTATACGGAAGAAACGAGTATCCTGCGCGATGAATCGGGCAAGGAAGTGGTGTGCGATGTGGACAAGATCCCCAAGGCCCGCATGGGGTTGAAGTGTCTTTTCTGCCGGGAGGTGCGCGGGGCCTGCTTCCAGTGCAACTTTGGCAAATGCACCCGATCATACCATGCGACGTGCGCCCTGCTGGCTGGAGTGCAGGTGGAGCATGGGCAGGTGGCTGTGATTGCAGACGATGGCAACCAGTACTCGGTGCCGAGTGTGGATCTCAAGTGCAAATACCATCGCCAGAAGAAGCCGACCTGGATGACGAGCACGGAGTCGCCCGACCAGGACCGCAAGCTGATTGAGACTGCGCGCCGGCTGGTGATGGGCGATCTGGTGCAGTTCCAGGCCGACCGGGAGATCAATGGCGCGGTGGTGTTGGACAATCGGCCGGCGGAACGGACGATGCTGGTGAAGGTGCTGCCTCGGGGGTAAGTTCTGTCCCATCTATACGTTGACGTGTTTGGAATTTTCCAAATTGGGAAATGGGTTTGATGCTGACGAGATGCTGTTCAGGGACGTAATTGAGTTACCATACCGGTGGATGCTGGTGGTGCGACGGAGCAATTTCTCACCGCTGGCGCCAGGCACCAAGCCCCTGCCCGCCCACCTGGCCCGCAAGCCCGACGCCCGGAAAGAAGTGGAATCGACGGTGCCGGTGGCAGGGAATCCATTTGGTGACGAGGGATCTCCATACCAGTGGGCCGAGTTCGAGACGGTGGACAACGCTATCCAAGCCCCACCGCCATCGGCGCCCGTCGACCTGCACAAGAGCGAGCAGATCTGGCACTACCTGGGCCAGTCATCGACCGAGTGTAGGGCTCAGTATACGCACAACCCTAGCGTCCGCGTCCACAATCCACGCGCGAATTTCCTGGACAGCGTCAAGTCGCTTGGCGCGGTGATGGCCCGACTCCCCTCGTCCACCTACCCCCACCACCTCCAACACCGCCATCGGCCTTTGTATGGTCCTGCGGCTGGTGCTGCCCCTCCTCGCCATTATTATCTGTCGCCTGCCGCCGCCGCCGTCACCGCCCGAGGTGGCTCTGCTGCTAATGTTACTGCTACTGCTGCTGCTGCTGCTTCCCGCCCGTCCCTGCTGCAGCGCCCTCCTCTTGCCCCTCCTTCTCGTGCTTCGTCTTCTGCTGCTGCTGCTGCTGCCGCCGCCTCCGCCGCCGCCGCTCCCTCTGCTGTTGCTTCTGCGATGCCGTCAGCCTACCGAACCCTACCATCACAATCTGCCCGCCATGCTCCTTATCCTCAATTTGCCAAGTCGCTTCATTCGTCCGCCCACCTCCCGTCTCAACAGCAGCACTCATCCCAGCAGCAGCAGACCGCCCCCGCCAACCATCACCACCACCACCTCCCCGCGAATACCTTTGCCAACGTCCGCGAACTCATTGCCCGTCGTCGACTGGCTCAAATCACCGACCATGCCAATGTTTTTGCTGGCTATACCATCGTTGGTCCGGAGTTGGTGGTCGAAACGCTCCTGGGACCCATGGGTTCCGTTCCCCCGCCCAATGGGTTGGAAAAGTTGGAACTAGCCATGGCTCAACAACGGGTCCAGCCGCGAGCTCCCGACGGAACCGTCCTCCCGCTGCAGCCCCTCAACATGCGGTCCGAGGAGGTCACTCGTCTCCTTCAGATGCTGCGCTTCTCCTGGTCAGCCATCGAGATCGGTTGGATGTGCTTCA